ACGGCGACGCCGCTCAAGCCAGAAACGGGCGCCTAAGAGCTGCGCTCTAAAACATAGTGGCACAATCAAAATTTTAAAATTTGTTTGAATTAACCAGAAGTATGAAATATTCGAGTTCGAGTTATTGCGAGCCTACTCAAATATGGCGAGAGAACCCACGTTGTGATGCAGATTTTCTCTCATTCTTTCCAATATCGTTGCTTGAGCTTTTAAAGGGGTCCCCATAGTTTCGTCGAAACACGTTTCATGGGCAGCATTTCATGGTCACACATTTCCTGGAAACACCTTTCGCTGACATTATAGGAGCTGTGCAACGATTTTAACGTTGAAAGAATTGGCGTCTTCTGCTTTTGATATTGTTCACCTTGTCACAAATGACAGAAAACACACCTCCTTTCATCGAAATCTTGCGATTCCGCCGCATAATAGCGAGGCAAAACTTGGAATATTCCCCGACCTGCAGCCGCGAGCAGCGGCCATGAGAAACACGCGGCGTCACGTCAAAGGGGAATCTTGTAGAAAGATAGCAAGTTGTGCGAATACCTGCTCGATAAAAGGTAACTTTTCTATAAATCTTGTCCTTCCAACATAAATATAAATTCGTCAAAAACCTGGTATCATCAACAAAACTTTTATTATACAGAGTTTTTGGTGCTGCCATCTATCCCAGGTCCACAAAAACCGTCAGCTCTCTCTGCTACCGCGAACAACCGCCAGAAGCTGGAGGGGGAGGGGGACAGGGCCGGACGGGTATGGATGGACCCGGAGGAGACTTTCCTCCTTGCACCATATTGTTCGCGGGGCGCCCGCCAGCACGTGGTCACGCGGTCGCAAGCGGATGAGTTCTCGCTGCTCACTGATGGCTGTAAAGAGAGAACTTTTCCTGAACCCCGCGCCTACCCCATAAACGTCACTGCGCACATGACCCGGAAGACGACGTACGAGTTGAAAGGCGGCAAAAACCTGGATCTTTTACCTTTTTTTAAATAAAAACTAGGGTATCCAGGCAAAATCTGTTTTCTGTAGTTCACTGCAGAAGTGTTAGGCATCAACTTCCACAATAATTTAAGCAAAGCCCTGAAATTGTTGCACAGCTCCTTTAACAATTAATCGACACTCATTACGCAAATTGTATGCTGTAGGTTTTCGTTGCACGTGTATCACGTAAAAGTGCAGAATGAGCCATTAGCAACCGACTTCTTTCTGAAGAGGCTGTCCAAATAGCCAACGGCATGCAGTTGGGAAACATCGCAGAAAGCTGCAAACTTTTTCTTGCGACCGACTCAAAGGAGGCTTTTGGTGGTTTTGAAAGTGATTAACATAGCAGTGACAAATCTTTGGCCTAATAAAGTCTATTTTCTCGAGATAGATAAAATATTAAATCTGTGTGCACTGCACTTTTCTTTTCCTTTTTCTGGCGGAAAAATTTGGTCACCGCTATCTAGAATTTTGGTACCGTTCTGGGATAGCCCCCCCCCCCCCACCCCCTTTTGTAGGTAATTTTGACTTGCGTGCGGGGGGGGGGGGGGGGGGGGGGGGGGGGAGGGTGCGTGCGGGGGGCGCTTGCTCGGGATTCTACGGTATCCTGATCACGGGAGAAGTAGCAATTTCGAAAGGCTTTTATTTTCCTAAGTAATTTGCTTATTGAGCAATATGACACATCAAAATGTGGCCAATTGGTTGTTCTTTCAAAAGAACTTAGGTTCGTATAAGTGAGAAAAAGATTTGAAAATTAAATATTTTGTAGAAGAATCTGGAGTTGGGCAAGTTGGTACCTCTTAGATTCGAAGAGCGCCAGAAAACAAGGACAACAGAAGGAATAGACGAAGCGATTCAATATCTTGAAATTACAATGTATCTGCAGAAGGCGTATAAATGCCGACACTGTTACAGTTATTCAAATTAAACGACAAATAAAAGAAAAATCCAAAACGGGGGTGGAACACTTGAAATGTACTTGGGAGCAGGCACGGGAGCAGGTAAAACCGCTGTTCTGGAGCAGGTTGGGATCAGCTAAAACTACAATCTGGAGCAGGCTATGAGCAGCTCAGATCAGTTTTCATTGCACTTCAGCTTGTGTATTAGACAAGCACGGGAGCAATTTCAATTGTGCTTAGCAGCATAGATGAACATGAGTGGTTAGGGACCTAGGTAGATGGGATAACAGCGTGACAAATGCAAAAACTTGAAACTTTGTGAGCCTTAATGAGAACCAAAAAACAAGTACCATATGTTTCTGAAGATAGAGTCCTTGATAATTTCTGAGTGGCTTTCAGCTGCTCAAAATGCAAACCAGCACAGCTTATCGCAAAACCCACACGTGCTCGACATAGTAATTATATGTGCGAACCACGTGACGTGCGTAAGCAACAGACGTGCAGTTGCGCGGAGGAACAGTCAACGAATTTCGAGTTTATACTATTGTGCAACTCAATATCGAAGCAGCACATTACGATTAACGGAGTTATCATATTCAAAGCGATAAGCAGGAGCAATGTTAAAGTACGCCGAGCAGATCTACCGCTCGCGTGAGAGCTGCTGGCCGGCAAGGTTTTGGATCAGACCGTGTTTCAGTTCTTTCAAACAACAATTTATCTTGCTGGAATGCGGTTCCAAGTTCTAAGGATGATGTACTACAAGGAATCTTTAGCTCATTTGTTTTCAACTGGCTGACATCCGGATCCCGGGCCGCAGAGCCTCAGGCAATCTGACGCTTATTGACTTGACCTCACCTCGGCTGACTTGCTTAACCGCCTATGGTTGAAGAATGACAATCGAGTCGCAAGTGGTGTAGCGCTTGGAATCCGACCCCCGGGTTTTTTCCCGCGCTTCCGACTCGGGATACACAGGGAGAACAAACAGAACAAAGGATTGCAAGGTCGAACAAGCTAAATGCGCTCATTGTTGCCCATCGAGTCAATAGAAACCGAAACCAAGACAACAAAATTTTTTTGCCGCACAATTTACGATTTGGTGCATGATGGCGCGAGCTATTGGCAGACAACTGCAAGACAGTTGTCTGCGCCATCCTGCACATGGTGCAGGACGGCGCAGACAAATGAGTCTCGTGCAAATTGGCGCAAATGGCGCAGCCGTTCCACCCCTGCAAAATATACAAAATGTGCCCTACACCCACGGCAATTACTTCTGAAAGTCAGTGTACTCTCACTGACGTCTATTTTTGGTTCGCCGGAGAGTTAGCCTCCGTAACCATGCACTTTTCACCGAAGGAATGCTTATATTGGTGAAACACAGACAGTACACCTCACATCCCCAGCAGAACGCTTTCTTTGTGTTCTACCGCAGTTTTGTCATAGTCTTGATAACAGTTTCCTCATATTTAGCATTTTTTTCCGCCTTGTTGGGAACATAAAACGTGCACGCCGGCTCAGGACAGCATTGGAAATTGTAGTGATGCTTGACAACAACCATCTGTTAAGCGACACCTATAATATCACTTAAAGTGTCCCCAGAGCTCTTGAGGTCTAAAAAATGCCACAATACAGTTGAATTACGTAAATGATGCCACCTTTGTTACGAAGGCTGATACAAGCAGTTAGCCATGTTAGACGAGTGCAACCACCATTCCCAGGACTATTTTTGACAGCCCACCAGCTTGTGATAAAGTTCAAACCTACGTTGAAATTGAAACTAGTCCTTCGACTATCCATGAGATTGTGAAACATTATTCTCTCCACTAAGGTTAATTCCTTGACCTTTCAAACTATTCTGGGTTTCCTAACGTACCAACGTTTTAATGAATAGTACGATCGAGGATTCACGTCATTCGACATGAGAAAAGGCAACAATTTGTAATCAAACAGTCCTGACCGAGCATGCTCACGAAATGGAAACCATGAGCAAGCACATTTCTATGAAACAGTGTCACCTTCGGAATGTAGGCATGCAGGAAAAAATAATTACTTGCACTTGTTAATCATCAGTAGGTGTAGTGGGCTTCAAAATGCAACTAAAACTGTTAAAACTGTGCCGCATTACGAATTTCGGTAAAATTGGTGTGAGACAATGCTGCGGAGCCAAAACCTGCATTGGGTTGTGATGGTCAATGGAGTGATGGATGGATAGATAATAACGGCTATACCCCTAGTAACGGGCAGTAGCCAGCACCACCTAGCCTAAAAGAAAACAAAAATAAAAAAGACCTGACACCCCCTTTCCAACTCCTAAGCCAATTCATTCCTCTAACTATCCCCAGGCCGTAGAGGTGATTGCCAGGAACACTTTTGGGGGATTGAGCAAAAAAACTAAAAACAACACCACCCGCCTCCTCCTCCCTCCCTGGCCCACTGGGAGGCAGACTTTGGGCCACAGCCACGCGGAGGGAGTCCCAATTTTCCTTTGTCACGCCTGTCCCCAGCTGTGCTAGCTAGTTTTACTTAATTCAATTTTCCTCAGATAAATTTTGCCAATTATCTAACCTCTTCTTTGTGACTGTAATCCTTTTCTCTTGCATTCTTTCATCATCCATTCCAATTTCCAACGGCAGGAATCCATTCTCCCTCCACTGAATTCCCACAGTTGGCGAACAAAAACAAAAACTCTTCCAGAAACCAATTCATTAGCAGATTCATTTACTTTGGCACAATTTGGCGCTATTTTGGTTTCGGGGCGCAGCAAGGCGCAGACAAGCGGGAATCTATCAAAATGGCACAAATGGAACAAAATGACAAACTCGCTCATCACATGCATTGCTACCGTATATCGCGCAGTTGATGCGATTACCGTCTGTCATCGCGTGACGTCCGACGAGAATCGGGCGTGGCCGACGTTTCGAATTTTTCAGCCTATGGACGCGTAGCCGGAACAGAAGGACGGTCGGTTGCTCGGGGGAGGGCATTCGTGTGGGATTTTACGTATGCAAACCAGTCAGAGATGTATTCCATGCATCATAGTTTCACTACAGGCGTTACTTCTGAGGCACCGAAGTGCCCCAGAACGAAGGGCATCCTGAGAACGTCGGGAGAAACAGGCAACCCCACCTAGGACGACCTTTCTCAGGAAGATGAGGCCAACGTCCACGTTGCTCAGGAAGAAGAGGCAGGAGAAGATGGAGAAGAGGAAGTGGGGCGTCGTGACCACTGCCCTCGCTGTTCGCAGCCAGATCCCGGTCAGGTATCTCCTCTGCACGGAGGATGAAAAAACTGAAGCCTCTTTCCAAACCTTGCCAAGTGGGCTTGTCAAGGATGTGCAATGACAATATACAAGGTGTTTCAGCTAACACTTTCAAAGATCTCCAAAAATAGGGTGGTCTAAAGAAAAAAGAAACTCTTCACAAAAAGAAACCGCTAGGCATGGGCGAATAGAGGATTTTGGGTCCGAATCAAATTCGAAGCGAATAGTGATTTTGGTAAACAATTTCTAATCGAATAGTTTGAATAGTACAAGCAAAAAAATACCACAAGATATGTTTAAATTACAGTTTTATATTTGCCCTTATTTGGTATTAGATGTACTGAAATTGTTAATTTCATGCGTATCGAGTTTGGTAGCATGAAATGGTTGAAACGGTTGGAAGCTTGCGCCACCTGGCCGTAAATCCAAGCCAGAGTAAGAGAAACCCATTTATATCGAACTCGCAAAAAAACGTCTACCAGTTCGATATAGCGGGTAATTCGATATAAAAGTTTTAATGAATTTGACTCTCAAAAATCCACTTTCTGCTGAAATATTACACAATAAAGTAATCTTGCATTTTCTGCTGCCTTTTCTTCATTGCATCCGCGGTAATGATTTTTTTCTACGCTATCGACGGACTCCAAAATGCTGAGGCCACTGCCTTCTATATTTGTGCATTAGCGCCAAACTATGCCGAGAGCATGGAGCACGTCCAACAGGAGCACCTTCTCCTGCAGAGTGCCGTTTTGCTCTGCAAGTTGGCTCTTCCCTAAAACAGGTGGCTGCGTTGGGGGAAACCAACTAACAAAGCAAGCTGGCTTTTTCATTATTTTCTCTCTCTCTCTCTCCCCCTCTCCCTCTCTCTCTGGGCGGTTGCGTCCTTTTCGGAGAAAAAAACATAATATTCTCTTTCGTGGACAGAGCGGGGAGAGGGAGCACGGAGCACCCTCTTTCCGCTCTCTCCGCAAAAGATATATTATCTTCAAAACAATCAACGCAACCGCCCAAAAAAAAAAAAAAAGCCAGCATGCTTTGCAACCTGGTTTTCCCCCAATCGGCCATTCGCGTTGGGGGAAAGCCAGCTTGCAGAGCAAAACGGCGCTCTTGGTAGTTTGATATATTGATAGCGGCTGCTATTTTTGTTCGATGCAACCATTGTTTTTGCTATGTATTATCACTGTAACATTACTGTGCACAAAAATTGTTCGATATAAGGAATAATTCTATGTAAACGGGTGTGATATAGTCGGGTTTGACTGTATATAGAGAGGTCGAATAATTCTATATTGTCAAATAATTCGATATGGTCGAATACTTAAATTCGATTCCAAGCGAATGCCGAATAGAACAGAATTCGATTGGCTATTCGTAATAACCGAATATTCGCCCATCCCTAGAAACCGCTAGCCCCGGCAGACATCAAGGATTGCAAAATGCCTCATTAGCTTAATATTTACCTAAAATTTACTAACTAACTTTTTGATTAGAGAAAATAAAGATATAGCTCCAATTAGAAACTTGCCGAATGTCATCGAAAACCCCTAAATTGGTAAATTTTGGGACGACATGAAGCACATGGAAAGCGCCAGGATGCCCTGAAGTTCCAGCTCGTGCAGCAGGCGGGAGGCTGGCGATGTGACGACACTATACTCCGTTTCACCTTATGTTGTACCGCAGACAAGGCTAGAAGCGCGAGCTCATAGCGTTGAGAGCTACTCTTAACGCACGAGACCTTGTGCTGCCGCGATGTGCCCTAGAGCAAGGGGCTCGCGCTTGTAGCCTTTCCTGCGGTACATCATAAGGTGAAACAGAGTATAAGGGCGTGCGAATATATGGAAATTCAAATATGAATCGAATAATTTCTTTTATTCAACACATTCGATTTGAGAACTGCATACAGTCGAACCTCGATATAACGAACTTCAATGTAACGAAATCCTCGATTTAACGAAGTATTTTATTTTTCATAATTTCTTGCCCATAGGCCCCATGTATTTTTAGTCCCCATATAACGAAGTCTATTTTGCTGCTATTTCAATATAACGAAGCGCCATTGCCATAGAAGGCAATAAATAAATCAACTCTAAAAAACAACTTCGCAAAAAAATTGTGGTTAAAAAAAAAAGTATGCGCAAACGCGAGCGCTTGATAGGTTACTTCACGGGGACAGGCCTTCCAACGTTCCTAGGCTGCCCGAGGATGCGGTGCCGGTAGCGCCGGCGAGGCATGCGGCAAAGCGGATTCCGCGAGGCTGGCCAGAAAATGCCGAGCAAAAAGTTAACACAGCATAACAGCATCACCACTGACATTCACTGATCATCATAGTCCACTCTACCGTAGGTAGCGCGGGAGCCAACTTCAGCGGGGGAGCGACGTGATGGCGCGACGCGCGACCGCGCGATCCGCGCGATACCGCGCGACCGCACGGGCAGTGCCATCTAGGAGAAGACCGAAAAGACCGATTATCGTCTTGCGAGCGTAATGTAAAGCAAAGGCGCAAGCACACTGTGGGCGCAAGGGGGCAAGTAAACTGTGCGGTCAAGAGTGTGTGTAGGTTGGAAACATTGGCACCGCCTAAACTAAACAGCTTTATTTTTTAACCGGGCGGTTCACTTACGTGCTTGCTGCCATAAGGAAACGTAAAGTTCTTTCTTTGGATGAGAAAGCAAACGTTTTGGACGCCATCCTGAAGAAACTGCCGAGATCACGAGCACTCGGGAAGTGCTCGACGCAATGGACGTACTGAGAGGTACACGGTGTCGCATGGGCAGCAAGATGCCGTGCAAGCGCTCTGGGCGCTCGAACGCCGTATGACGCCGCCGACGCCGCTGCTACTGTCGGACAAGGCGCAAGCAAAACTCGCGGACTACTTTGCCCCTAAATAAATGTCATTTTCGGTGAGTTTTCATACCCGTAAAATGTTTCGGAATTTTTTTTTAGCGCATGCTAAACCCAAATTTCGATTTAGCGAAATTTCAATGTAACGAAATAAATTGCGAATTTTACCGACTTCGTTACATCGAGGTTCAACTGTATTTGGAATTTCCCGAATATTCGGCCATGGCCAAATATTCTAAAAAACTATGAATATTTGGAGAGAGATCGGAGTATTTGGGTAAATAGGGAATAATATGCGTGCTGCACATGCCCCGAGAATCCTGAAATATTACAGGATCTTTATTCACCGAAATCTACATGCGATCAATTCATTATCTGTTCTGTATCGGCTCGTTTCCGTTTTTGCCTAAAACTCATATCTGCCCCACGAGATAGCAGTAGTTTCGGCTTCTTTTATTTTGGTAGAGTAAGCTGTGCACCACTTTTCAGAGCACACCTCTTAGGCGCCCATTTCCGGTTTCAGCGGCACCGGTGTCAGTGTAATTGTGTGTATTGCATTATGGGATGTCACAGTTTCCCCGCTAAATGTAGCAGGGAAACTGAATTGGTGTTGGGGTCACGTGACGTCAATTTACCCGCTAACTTTAGCGGGAAAACTTAACCCGCTAAATTTAGCGAGAACATTTTCACTAAATTTCCCGCCAAATTTAGCGAAAAACTTTTCCCGCTAAATTTACTGGAAAAATTATCACTAAATCTCTCGCTACATTTACCAGAAAACTTTTGCTAAATTTCCCACTAAATTTAGCGGGTATATTTCTCCACTAAATTTAGCGGGGAAATTTTTGCTAAATTTAGCGGGAATATTGATCTGCTAAGTTTAGCAAGGAAATTTTTGCTAAATTTAACGGGAAATTCAGCGAATGATTCCCGCTAAATGGGAGGGGAGCAGGAGAGGAGGAGGGGAGGGGGAGGAGGAACATACCCTGCCTTCCACACCCTTCCCTGCTCCTTCTCCTCCTCAAGAGCTGCACTCTAATTCGGGATTGCAAAGAACTGTAAACGTCTTTCAATTTTTTAGCGATATAAACTATGTATCTTTGGATAATAGAAATAGACAAAGCAATTAGAATTTCTTAATCATGTTTTCTTAAAGAATTCATAAATGTTTGTAAATTACAAAGAGAAAAATCTACAAGAATATTGCATCGCCAAGACAGCAACTCAACCACCGGACAAGATGGCTATTACAGCTTTGTGTGCTTTGTTTGGCAATTTGTAAGTGATGCTACCTGCTCTAGATAATGCCAGTACTGTCCCTGCTCGAACGTGTTCTCCGAGCATGGCCTCAGCCGCAGCTGATGAGCCACCGAACAAGCGAGAAACGAAAGCCAGAGAAAGTCTCTGGCACACAAAATTCTCGCAGCTGACAGCGCAGTGCAAGTCTTGCAACTGCCTTTCTAGAACGCCGACGGAAACGGCTGAAACGCTCCAAATCCCCCCTAAACAACACCCTCGCTAGGTGCGAGAATATAAAAAGGACGCTGCGAGCAGGGCCCCCGAGTCAACCGACACAATTGTAGGGTTCAACAGAGGAAGCGGCTCTTGTCGCAAAAGGCAAGGGTCGTAACCCCCTTTCTTATTACTGCACACATATTCAATACTCGATTCAATATTCGAAGTCAGTTTCTTACCATATTCATATTCGATTCGTATTCGAAAATTTCAATATTCGCACACTCCTAGACAACACAGACGATTTCCTTATCCTCTGCATTATCGCATCACCAGCCTTCTGCCTGCTGTACAAGTGAAAACTTCAGCGCACCCCTGCGCTAAAGTTACAGAAAATACAGTTACAGGAAATACATACAGAAAACACTGGGTGCATACTATAGTCCAGAAAATACAATGACACATTTTGTAGAAAGCATAAACGAGAGCATCTACGGTGCAACGAAAGAAGGGGTAAAGGGAAGTTCGCTTTCAAGGGCGATACACTGGATGCGTACAACAATAGTTGCTATATAGTTGCTAAGTTCACATGCTTTCCCGGATTGTTTGTGTTCCCACCATTTTCCATGCTGAACCAATAGCCACTTTGACAAGGTTCTGCCACAGTACCCGCAGCGTGCCTCCGACCTACGCGTCTACCGCACCTTCCTATGTGGTCCCTATGCTTCCACCCGACGACGTCAAGTCGTGCTATTGGGTGCCACGACGCTGGCACTGTTGCAGCAGTGGAAGATCGATGCGGCAAATAAAGGTTCTGCTGCGGGAGGTTGCTAAGCACACCAGTCGGAGACGCGTGGCAGGGACCGTAGCTCGATCGTGGCTTCGAGGCGCGCATCGAGTGCCGAGCTCACGAACCTCAATGCCCCGCCAGGGACGCCTGCCGCGCAGGAACCCGGCCAGCAGCTCGGTCGAGACTCCGACAAAGTTGAGCAGGCACCAGACGATCACGGCCCTGTCCATGCCGTGCCAGGAGCAGACAAAGGCAAAGCTGGCGGCCGCTCCAACGACTCGCCGCTTCAGCGTCCACTGTCCGGCCACCACGGGTTGGTAGATGTACCTGGACGCGCCAAAAATTGTTGAAAAATAATTACCACTATTTTAGCGAGACCTAGTTTATTCTCTTTTCAGATGCCTCAATTTACAGCGGTTGAAGATTGGTGTTAGACTCGGAAAAATAGTAGAATATTAAGGCACAAATACTTTTTTTTTCTTTAAATGCCTAAATAGGGCACACGAAAAAAATAAGTGCATGTAAAAAAAAAAGTTAGTGCAACTTTTGTATCTGAGGTTTGTTTTTGTGATTCCAAAACCTGCATCTCTTTTGCAGTCAATGACTCGAAACAAAAGCGGGTTTTCTAATCATTCTAAGCTCAAAATGTGTCTGAAATAGTAAATATACTAAGGCTGAATTTTCTTTTTCTCTTGTAGCAGAAGTTTATTGTATGCCAAGCATGTCTTATTTTTACACTTAAAAAAAAATGCATTGAAAAAATATTCTTTTTTTATAAAGAGCCTATATAAGACACACATTAAAAAAAATTATACCACAAAAGAAAAATATTTGTTTAGCAATATTTACATTGCTGGACGCAATTCAGGTGCAGGAGGTGGAGGTCTCAGCCCGCTAAGCCCCGCCCCATGCTTACAAAGTGCTTACATCTCTCATTGGCTGGAGAGATGATTGATGTGTGAAAGGTTGGTTGTAAATTTGTAGATTGATGTGTGAAAGGTTGGTTGTAAATTTGTATCTCCGTGCCGTAATAGTATTTTAATCAACTATTGATTTATGTTTGAGAAACAAATAATCTAGATAGAGTCATCATTGTTATCAAATGTATTTGAGAATCCCTCTCCTGCTTTGGTTTGAAACATTAATAAACATGGCTGCCTGCATCCGCAGAGAGGTGAATGAGCATAGCTCGTTGAACTCGTCAATCTTTACGCGTGCGTGTCATTTTGAGTTCACAGAGGTGTTTAGATAAAAACATTTTCAACCGACGTAGTTTGCAGCAAACAACTGTTGCAAGTATGCGCCTTCAGAAGCACTGTGGGGATGCTTGTTTTCGCAGCGGGGCTGGTCAAAGGCTAGCATCACAAAGTAACTATTTTGATCGATCTGGCTTGATTTCTTTCTTTGCGTGTTGGTGCTGAATAAAGAAGTTGGTTCCCGTAAAAGCGGCCCCACTGCTCGGTGAATTGTGCAACCATCAGGACTGTCACCATGGTTTCAACAATAAGAGGCCTACACAGGTAAGAATTCACGAGCCAATTGGGTGGAGGCAATCGGGCGCTCGGCTCACATCAAGTTTGTCGAGGCATGTTTCTGTCATTTCGTCTTGAAAAGCAAGTAGCTCTCAAGTTATGCAGTGCACCTGGCCTGACAAAACGAATGCGTCATCATGCTCACTCACCTTGCTTGCAAATGCCAAGTAAAAAAATAAAAATAAGAGAAGGCTCAATGTACACTTCAGCACTTTTTATGAGTTGTGAATGCGAAAGTGTGCAAGCCGCTCGTCCACTCCCTTATTTCGTCTGCTGCATACTTTTCGTCACCGGTCAGCGCACGCTTCTCGGAGTGCTGACCTTAGACGCTCCGTGTTAACAGACGGACACGCAGCGCCATGGAGTGGCCAGTCGTTGAAGCTGACGTGCAGCAGCCAATGGGAGCCTCGTCCACGCGCGCCGGCCGATGGAAGCGAAGCCGAAAATGCATCAGCTTTACTCCGCTCCTTTCGGTGCCGTTGTCTGGGCTTTTCGCGCGGTTTCATAGCTGGGAGCTGGCTTCACTTGAGGAAGGATTTAAGGTGCCATTTTCGCACTTCAAACTCATGATGTCGGCTCCCTCCATGGGACAGTTAACCCCTTAAGTGCCTTAGACGAGCTGAGCTCGTCGGCCACTTTCTGGCTCAAAATGACGTGGATGAGCTCAGCTCGTCCAGTGGTTTTTTCGGTTGCCCTCAATTCCACGGACGAGCTAGGCTCGTCCGAGTAGTTTTGCGGCGCTGATCATAGATGGCAGCACTCGTATTAGTTGGCAAATATTTTTTTTGCCTCCGCTGATTTTTGCATAATAAAATTTCCAAATTTTACGTGTAATACTAGAGGAGTAACAATTCAAAATAAAAAAAAAAATCTGGCACTTTTAGGTTACTTTAGGAAAAAAAAATTTGGCACTTAAGGGGTTAATGCTTTCGCATTATTAACAACAGTAAGGCTAGAAGGACTGCATATTTATTTTGTTGATTTTTTTAGTTACCTCGACAAAGGAAGGCTTCCTTCATTGTTTATTTTGTGCTGGTTTCCATATTTGCTATGAACGCATTTTTGGTGTTGAATCCCTCAGCAGACAGTAGAGGAAACTCCTCTATCTTACAGAGACAAGCACCCCATTTTGGCCATGAAAGGTTTTGGAGTTACTACCATGAAACAGGGATGGGATAAATACATCTAAAAAGGTATTTCGGAAACCGATACAAATACTTAAATAAAAGTGTATTTACCGTATTTACTCGAGTAAGAGCTGCACAATTTATGAACACGGCCCTTGTGTCTACTTTTCCGCAAAACACATATACACCCAATCATCACGTTGCGCATAAATTACATAGCGAATAACTAGGTCGAGAACGCGATTCTCCATACAAATGCAATATTCAAAGATGGTATCTTGGGGCGAAGACGTTATCTCTGTCCTGTAAACCGCTGGAATCATGCTGCCGATTGCGGTGATTGGCAATTCGCGTGCTCCGCGAAAAAGCAAACCCTTTCGTTTTTTTTCATAAACAGTGCGGCTATTACTCGAGTAAATACGGTAATTACATTTGAAATTGCAATGTAGAAAAGGGTATTTAAATACAAAGAACAAATACAATGAAAGTTATACGGTCATCTTTAATTACTTGTCCAAATACATTTGGTTCTCATTGTCTGACTGGCATCACATAGAAAACTTTTACGCGAGCCAAAAAAAAAAGCTTAGAACTAAATGCGAGTCTGTATATTACGCTAGAGTTTTAAAAAGACAGAATCGCAACTTTAGCACTAAAGTTATTTGAAAAGGAAACAAAATCAGTATATAAATTTAGTTTTAGCCTACGAAGGCATGTTGAACTTTCATTCGCGCAGCATGTGCACACTCGAATAAAGCCGACTACCTTTTCATTTTGCACGTCTTACGTCCTTTTGCTGCAAAACACTCGAACGCCCCCACCAAACAGCGCCGTGCTATGGGCGTTTATCGCGAGTCGAAGCGTCAATGTTGTTGCACATCAAACGGTACATGTGAACTAGCCAGTTGTGCGAGACTCCGATTTCACAATACTTATCTGCGTAAAAAGAAAAAATGCATTGCGTGAACCATGCAAAGAGGTGCGACCTATACAAAGGTGCGACTTATACACTAAATTCTCTGCGAAAACTGCTCAGTAAACAGAGGTGCCACTTATGCAAGGATGCAGCATATGGAATACTGCCTACCCCTGCCGTAAGATACCGAGCATCCGCCAGCTCCACAATAAGCGCCCACCCCTCAATTCTGACACATTCGGAGGATAAATAAAGGATGTATCTTAACATATTGCTGAGGAGCGCGCCATCCCCCAGCTTTATGCGATTATCTCTAAATTTTGGGTGGGCGCTTCCTCGGGATCTTGTGGTAGTCATCTGGATTATAGTTGAAACCTATGCACTGATAAACTGAGGGAGAGGAGGAGAAACAACGGCACGCGGGGACATCAAAACGATGAGCCCTGGCTGGAGTGATTAGTGAGTAGACCTAAAGCTAGCTGCCTTTGTCCCCACAGCACTCATTGAACGCGTTAGAATGCACTAGGATGCGGCTAGCGTCTGGTGTATGGCTTTCGCATTCGAATTTGTTCGACGAATGCAGTGGCGATAGAGGCAGCCTTTGCCTCCACTGCACTTGTTGAACGCGTTAGAATGCACTACGTTGACTTCGGACGTTTGGCTCTTGCATTCGACGACTGCAGTGGAGAAAGGCAGCTAGCTTTAGGTCTACCCGCTAATCATTCCAAGCAGAGCTCGGCATTCTGATCTCCCCTCTCGCCTCCTCCTCTCCCTCAGTTTCTCGGCAAATAATTTGAGAGCAACGTCGTAGAAAAACAACAAAGAAGCACGTAGGCAAAGTCATGACAAGGGGGGGAAAACAAAGCCTAGCCATCTCGCACATCCCGTACGAACACCGTCGCTTGAGAGATTGTCCATTCCGTTTTAAAAACTAAATATCTTCAGGCTCAAATTGGGAAACCTCGACAACCCCCGATTCCCGTTGGACATCGCGCAGTGTCCGACAGGAATCGCATCGACCGCACGATACGAGGTGTCGTTACGTTTGATGAGCAAGTTCGTGGCAGCCTGTTGCACGTTTATCACTGTGTGGAACCCGGGTTTGCCGTGTTCGCGATCTGCGCACGCAAAATCGGTTCCCTCGACTCGTGGGTTCGTGGCGGGTTCCCGCATGCTCCTCGCGACATAAAATGCGAATATGCCGCATCCGCGACCTAAGGTATCGGTTCCTGTGATATGCGGGCTCGTGGCGGGTGGCCGCGCGTTTTTTGTTGCACCACCGCATCCATGATACGCGTGTGCAATATGGGTTCCCGTGATATGCGAGTTCCATGTATTTATCCCGGCTGCATCCGCAATCCATGGTAGTAGCTCCCATGTCATCTGGTTGATAGCGGCATCATGCTGTTTGTCGGTCGCTTTTGATAAAGTTTGGCTGTCTCATTTCCAAAGATCCTGACACTTTTCACCATTCATCTCTTCAAAATGGGTGGGCATTCGTACAAAGTCTATGGTAGTTCGGAGCTAATACTACGTGATTTAAGTTTCCCGCAGAGTTCCATGCATCGAGTGCAAGTTCTGAAGTTCTCAATTAAGTTCCTTCGCAGCTCTTGCGACTTATTTGCACTAAATTGGATTCATATTAGAAGCAAACTAAACTACATGAAAAGGGAAAAACAGTGAAGGCGACAAGTAACTCGGTGTTCATGAGGCAAGAAGGAGGATGCAACGGACAAAATACCTGTATAAGGACAGAGATTGATGTTGTTGTCTGTGTTCTGTCCGTTTAATTTTTATTCTCACGTTACGATAGCTGACTCGTAGCAACAAGCTCGTTACAAAATTTTAAAACATAAGCATTAAACATCTTAGGACTTGCCTTTGAATCCATAGGTACAGGCCCCTATCAAAGTGCCTGCAAAAAAGACAAAGACAGGGTGTCATTAATTCAATCAATCAGTCTATCAATAATTTATTTCACATGAAACAGGCACCCATGTAGGCTACAAGGGCGAATCCCCAAAAACTCAAAGGCTATTGTCAAGCCAAGAAAAAAAGAGAAAGAATTTGGGGCATCGTTCATTCAAAGTTACATAAAAAAAAAACATGCGGAAAAACAGATACAGTTAGAACCACTTATAACAGTCTACAGGAATCGGAGATATACTGAATGTATTTGAAATTGTCATGTCCGAGATTCGCAAAAAGAAAAGTCTCAATTTGTTTATGCTCACGGCATGAATAGTTGTGCAGCGCATAGCAGAGACTCATAAAATAGCTGGTGTCCTAATTTTGTAAGTTTTCAGTACAACACCACCACAACAAAACCATATTTTTCATTGAGGCAGCCAATGCACGCACGTGTCGACACATCGGGAGGTTGCGCTTCTTCCGACCGTTTGCACTGTAGGGAAGCGGAATAGCTGGGAGCGGGCAGGTACGGAAGCACGCATTCTTCAGCTGGTGCCACTGGGTCAACGTGTCACTGGACTAAAGTTCTTGTCATACCATGGGTTCTCAAGCTGGGTTCGCCAAAGCACCCTCGGGCTCCCCAATTTCCTCCACCGTCCCTGAACAAAGCGTTTCTCCAGTTTCAGCATCCATTTTAGCAGATCTCAGCAATAATTATGAGGCTGCCTAGTATGTGCAATATTGTGTACAAAGTCTGAAGCCTTTTGTACTGCTCTATTGCATTGTTTGATTTTTCCTCGGTCTCTGACACCAACCCAGCAGTCTGAAAAACCGGAAACAAAAATTTGTCTTGTGTCTGTGAGCCGAATTCGCAGACTCCTTTGATCATAGTATAGTGTGTCAGCTGCACTGTTGCAGTCAAGAAGTACATGCGACAAATACGCTTTTCAGCAACCAAATAGCAACTTCCTTCCTTTCAACAGACAGAAATGAACGACACCCTTTTGTTGCCTCCTACTTGAGCGACGAAAAACAACCTACACAGGCACAGGGGGACGCAGTGTCGTACGAAAAAGCATTCCAAAGAATGACGTTCCTGAGACGCATTCCCCCTGGAAGGGAAGGAGGAATGCCACCATTCCATTTTGCATCGGTGGAGCTGGAATGGGAACCGGCTACGTTTTCGAGGCAAAGGCAGGAGGAACATTTTCTTTTTTTGTCTATTTGTCTGAAAGTTTACTCTAATTTAGAGGCATTTCAGCATTTTTTTTCTTATTATTGACTATTTCAACCTCCGACTTCAAGGGATGGGGAAGTGCCCGACAGATAGTCGAACACAAAGAACCGAAACAAATGTGATCGTGGCAACACGACACGCAGTTCGATGTGGACATTTTCACTCGCTCACTTTATTTTATCTATTGATATTTAAGCACAACATCTATTTCAAACGTGCAAATGTAACGTTAATTTAATGACACATTCCAATCTTGTAAATGTGTCAGGAACATGTTCCTTTCAAATCACTCGAACTTGTCACGGGAACGTGTGAAGGCTGAAACACAGCACTTCGGCGTGCCAAAGGCATGTCCTTCGATTGCGCCGCGAGACCTGCGTTTGACAAGTTGTGCCTTTTTCCTGCGGTGCTGCACTTTCGTAAAACTTTCCACGCGTCCTCGAAGGCAACTATGACAGTCTACATGGGGTTTTAGAAAACTTCTCCGGCGAATGACGGCAAACGAGCAGAGAATGTGTCATCCAGCACGCTGCCGCCCAGCCTCTGCAACGCTCCAGCCGGTCAACTTCCTCTTGGCGCAAGACGGCCAATACGGAACTTCTGGGCTATGTTCCAAATCTTACCCGAGAAACCAGTCTCCTACGTCAGCGAGAATACCATGTAATATCACGAGTAAATGATCCTCGACTTGAATTTTGGAACGGCCGGGATAATCACCTGGATACAACGCGGATTGGCTTCGTCTTGGCTTACGACAATGAGAAAACACCGTAACGATAGCAGAAAAAAGCAGACAATCCTTTTGACCATGGAGAAAGCACTCGAAGAGAAGATAATATTAACGGCGACCCGGTGTTTTCTGAGGTGGATCCACCAGCTGCTCTTACTCACTTTCCTTTTGAGCTGTATATTGAGATCAGAATTACTTACACCTTACAGTTAGACATCAAAAATTTGTTTTTATTATTTAGCGCGATCACTGTAATTCTAGTCCAAGTGCCCTATACTCCGTTCCAAAAATTGCGTGCAACGCTGGGAAAGGTACGGAAGTAGTGCGCATGAAAACACACCAAACAATGTATTACTCCGCGCGTTTTATGGACGAGCGGTACAAGGCGCTGCTCTGGCGATCACGACGTCTCGGCGGCGGTAGTTCAAATCCACATGACGCGCACTTTTTTTTTTTTTTTTCTACATATTTTTTTGTGCATTGCGGAGGTGCATATTTCAATTCCTCTTTTCTTGCTTTCTATTTATTAGTCGCTGAAAGGCCGCATTTCTACCATTGCTCTGCCGCTATGCAAGTGTTATTTTCCTCCAACACCCGAGTTATACTGCTTTTTCGTGCAGCTTGGAATGAGAAATTGCATTGATAGCAGTCTTGTCCTAAAGTTTATAATAAGATGTTAATCAACAATAGTTGTGGCCTGTACAGTTTATTTTGAAATAGCTGTTTTAATTTTTGTCCACATCTTTCTTCCGTCAGGTACTTCATTACATGCCGGAAACATATTTCCTCACACAAGTTACTGCTGTGAGGTCTGGGCAAATCTGATTCTCGTGTCTTTATCAGCGATTTCCCCACACTCCCTTTAGGGAGGGGGGGAAGGGGGGTTCACACCCCCTTGTTTTTCTCAAGGCATCCCCTTAATTCGGAACGGCCCCTCTATTCTCCATGCCCCCCTTCCCCCTAACATCGAGAAACCCCCCCCCCCCCCCCCCCCCCCCCTAATTTAAATTCCTGAGAAACCCCTGGTCTTTGATGTTGTAAACATAATTGGAAAGCTAGCACAGTTTGTGCTAGCTTTCCAATTATGTTCCCATTTGAGGCCTCATTTTATAGCTCCCCTCGCATCATTGTAGAAAAGAATGCAAACAGCCAATAAAGAAAAAATCATGCCCCTAGATCACTGTCATTTTCTTGCTGGGACAATAAAATGTTTGGATTTGAGTTATATACTATTTTACATAAGTCAAATGCGGCACAGGTATACTGGTGCGCAACACCACAGAGTCAGGTCTTTCTCTGGGTGACATTCTAGGGATAGAAAATGGGTATTTCCTTCAGTGTCTCATTTACGTTATTGGCAGGCACAGGTTTACTGTTACGACTGCAGTACACGTCCGCAGCTGATTACAAGGTGTTTCACGGGGCGAAACAAATACTGTAGATGGACGATACAAATGCTCGTCATTGCAGACTTTCTCGGCTATCTGCTTCAACTGACACTCTTCCTGCCACGGATAGCGAGCGAAAAACGGCAACCGACGTGGGGATTCCTTTTACACATGCAATCATGACACTCAACTCCTTCTGCACTCGTGATTTTTTTTTGCTGTTGTTGAAAGAGACACAGGAGTTTGAAGCCATCGAAAAAAGCCCGATTTGCACAGATTGTTGTGGCCCTCACAAGGGCCGTTGGATAGACGAAAACACTGACGGAGTGTCCACCCGTTACTCAAGTTCCTCGATGCCGCTCAGATCTTGGCTAGATTCATCGGAGGAGCTACTCGTGTTTCCAACAGTGAATACCACTGGCTCAATTTCACTGTTGACAATGATGTCCCGTTCCCCACTTCATCTTCAACACGCTCAACATGGGTGCAACAGTTTCGCCAGTCCTCTAGGGTCACAGATGCCAGTACTTCTGGCAGGAGCCGCTCGACCTCTTGAAGCGTAAAAAGCTTGTTTTTGCTCGCCACGTAGCCCTTCACCTTGCTCCATACCAGCTCAATGGGGTTGAATTCACAGTGGTAGGGAGGCAGTCGTAGGACTTCCTGGTTGTGGGCAGCTGCCAAGGTGTCGATCCGGTACACAGTGCCGGGTGTGTTCACCTTCTTGGAAAGCTCCAGGAGTTCAGCCCTCACCATGTCCCCAGACCATGAAATTCCTTTCTTTGTGAGCCATGCCTGGATGTCGGCTTTCCGAGTCGACGACGTGGGTGCTTTTTCAAGAGCAACACTGTGGTATGAAGCATTGTCCATCACTATGATGCTTCTGGGCGGGATCTTGGGCAGGAGTTGGCTTGAAAACCAGTCTTCGAAGTAGGTGCCATCCATCTCGGAGTGGTAGTCCGCGTTGTTGCCTTTCTTGGCCCTGAAAAAGTCGGCAGCACCTTCAACGAAGCCTGTTTCGCTGCTCCCAGCATGGACAAGAATCAGACGGCCTCCTTTACCAGACGGCGCTGCCAGGCCTGTCGTCAAGCCATTCAGGAACGCGTCCTGTGAGGACTTCACAGTCGTGTCTTGCCAGACGAATTGCTTGGTGTGTCCGGCGTTCACCCAGGTTTCATCAAGGTAGATGATAGACCTGCACGAAACCACCTTATATTGTTATTTCAAATTCTGCGTTAATTCCAATATCACAATAACGTAACACGACGTAGATCATTTATTGGGTCAGGCTCAATTTTGCATACTTAGTTAAGGGGGGACATGGGTCTTCAGAGCCAAAAACTTCCTAAAACTGCATTCTTTTGAAAATGACAATGGCTGTTGTTCTTCTGAATCTACCAGGCTTATAATTTCGTGAATGAATGTTTGAGATATAAATCAATTTATATTATCTATTTGGGCTGCATGTGCATTGAAGTTGACTCTAAAACATTGTTTTCACCAAACACAATTTTTGGACTCGTTGAAAATTTACAGGAAGGATATCTCAGCATATAGAGCAGATAGAAATATAACCATTCCTGAAATGTGTAGCTGAATGTGTGAAGCATACAATGTTGAGAGCAGATTTGTTAATATAAGTCTAGAAGAATTTTTATTTGATCTTTTGCTATATTACTTGTTAGACATGCATTGAGCACTGAACTGGAATATGTGGCAAAATCACTAATAATTAGTTTATCTTAAAAGTGCTTCCAACATTGTATTCAATACACTTCGTAGCATCTAGCCATGTGTTAAAAAGAATATTTTGTCGAGCAGTTTTTTTTCTATCGTTTTTCCAAACAAAGGCAGGAAAGTTTTAATTATTTTGAGGACAATGCTACTGACTGAGAAAATGACCAGATATATGAAATCAGCTCAAAAAGCTGAACAAGCTTGTGCAGTTTCATTAAGTTTGGTCATAAAATAAGAAAAAAAAGCTCCAAGACCAGTGTTCCCCCTTAACTATGGAAAAGTAAAACGAAGTTATGCGCTAGACTTTTCTTCAAATCTACGTATCTCAATTAGGGCAATCCGTGAGGTGAGCAAGTTGTTCCAAATAGCTCAAGGACGACATTTGACAATTCTGAAATTATGGTCGAAGTGGAAAACTGTAAACGACTTTATTTTCGCGTGGACCTGAATTTCGCGAATCTCCTGCAATTCGCGAAAAATAGGCCCGCTAACAATTCCAGTAAAATGTAGATATATTGAAATCTACATTGATATCCCACCGGGTCACAAAAATTAGAACCCGCGAATTATTCCAAAAGTTCAGCTCTCACCTAAATCGCGAAATATTGAGCCCGCGAAACATAAATCGTTTACAGTATGTGCAACGCGAAGACGGCGCACATGTTCCACATGAGTAAACTCGTATAGCACAACCCGTACCTGCCCTGTCTTCGGAATTCTTTGATGACTCGCAGATACCTCCGACGCCAGGCAATGATGTCGCTGCGCTCGATAAGGGCCAGTCTCCGCTTCCTCTTCTCAAAAGCAAAGCCGATGTCTTTGAGCAACCTCCACAAAGTCGTCTTCGACAGGTCGGGAAGCTCGTCGTCTTCGTTCACAGCCTGCAGTATGCTATCAAGAGTAGGAATATCCCTCTCAAAGTACTTCCGATGCACCTTCAGGCGAATGGCGTTGAGTGTGAAGTCGTCATGCTTGACGGTTCGCTTGCTCGAAACTTTTACGTTGCGAGGTCTTCGCTTCGGGGACGCCACCTTGCCAGATAGACACTGCGCCTTCTACTTCGCGACAGTACGGGCGCACACTCCGGTGTCATTACTGACCCTCTCCAGGATTTCACGAACCGACATCTCCGGGAATCACGTTCTTGTACTCGCGTACACGTTGGCGATTACCTGCTTGCACTCTTTCGAGATCTTCGCACAACGAATCTTAGAAAATATCCGAGCAGGAGAGGTACTTGAGCTTGCTGCGTTAGACGCCATCTTCTCAAAACCGGCGAGGCAGGGGAAGACGCTGGCAGCCGCACAACCCAAAACCCGAAGCGGCTGCCGCACGGACGAAAACGGAAAACAATTAAAGTAGCTTACATTATCTTTTCCTTTTTATTGAAAAAAATCTATCTTTCGTCGAAATCAAAACGCCATTATCAGTTACTCGCTCCAAAGATGTACATTTGTCGACTTTTTGTTTTTTTTGCAGGGGCCGCACTATTCTTGGAGCGAACGTAGGCGTGGTCGGCTGTGTAAACCGGCGCAATAGCTTTGACTGCGTTGCACGCTATGTTTGAAACGGAGTTTAAACGCATATATTCCAGGCACTGTAATTTACATCGATTACATTTTGCAAAAATTGCTTCCACACGGTGTAGCGGTAGAGCACATGAGGCTTTCTCAACAGTGATATGTAACTTACGTTCCCTTTGAGGCGCTTCCAAGCCTTTACTGACGCGCGTTATCCTCTCATTACATACACTCTGGGGGAAACAAAAATACTACCTCATCATTTACTGTGTTTGAACATTTTCAGGTCTGAACGTGAGAATACAGCTTTCCCTCCAACGCCGAGGACGAGGATGCGGAGGAGCTCCTGTTTACACTTGCACCCTGATAATAGCAACAGGTATACCTTCCCGGGGAAGGTGGACGGTCTGGATGTAATGCAGTCAATTCCTGCGTTGAAAACAGCAAATTGCAAAAACCACACATAAATGGCTGCTCCTCATTCTTTGTCATTTCGAACATCCGCCACCAAAGCCAACGGAGCAAGTGAGCTTTGACGGCTGTCGACGCAGAAAGCAAACGACGACCAGATCGCGTGACATATTTGCTCGATTTGATCCAACGTTACCCCCTGATCGAGGAGGGGAGCGCGAGTAATTACTCTGGAGTAAACAAACCACTTCTGAAACGCAAGTTCTGATGTCATCGAGTAAGCTCGAGTAAGTTTTGAAACGCCACGGTGCGAAACCATTACTTCGGAGTTGGATCGAGTAAATTTCGGAACACAGCCCTGGTGGCCGCACTCGCACTGCGGCAACCAAGCGGGGAAGCGACATCTAGCAAGTTATCATAGAGATCAGTGGGTGCCAGGGAGGCACACGGCAGACATGATAATTGAGCAATCTTTTCAGGAATACATGACCTCGGTTCTCTCTTATCACAGAAGTCACCATTATACTATTTCGCTGGTTTCTAGCGACTTCTAGCTCCCGACTCTGTCATCATAGTCTGGAAATTTAGACGATGTCCGTGAATACCGTATTTACGCGAATCTAATGTGCCCTCAATTGTAACGCGCACCCATTTTTTTCGAGGTCCGAAAAAAAAAAATGAGATGACCTTGATTGTTACGCGCACCAGATTTCGTAGGTTGGATACAGAAATTAAAGGGATATTTTAAGGCCTTGACAACCATGGCAGACGGGATCATGCACCACGCATCTTTCGCCCATCCGAAGAAGTCCTGGAGCGACACAAATTTCTGGAATACTAAACGCATGTGATGCACCCCGATTTCCATCGCTCTCCGCGCACAATATCACTTTTCTTTTGAATCCAGCATCATAGTGAACGCGGCGTGTCTTAGCAGTGGAAACTTCTATGCTCGTACGAATGGAGCGGCCATTTTGAAATGTTGATGGCGATATGGTAGCGCAGTTTTGGGTCGCACTCGATTCTAGCGCGCATGTGTTTTTTGGACCTATTTCCCCGTAAAAAAGGTGCGCGTTAGATTCGAGTAAATACGGTAACCCACCGGTGCATCAACCAGCAAGCATGGTTGACGAGGTAATCTTGATACTTGATTTCACCTTAATTTCAAGCGCAGCCGACGCTGCGAGCTAATGGGCCAATCTAAACCAATCAAATGAAGCGAATGCCCCGTGACTTTTAGTATGTGCGTTTGCAGTTGCATGTGTTCAAGCCTTTGACCGTTTCCCGACCTAAGTGAAACAAACTATACAGTGAGTAGCTGCCAAGTATATATTTGTACCACTTTGCTTTCCCGCTATGTCTCTAAGTATTAGGATCAACCAATGAATTATTTTTATATTTTACTTCGTTCAAGCCCACCTTGGCGCAGGTGCGGTACAATTCTTAGCAAAGATTGCATTTTGGTACAAGATGTAGCAGTATTTTGTTCGTGGTGAGATTCGGCAAAAATGGCGCGGCACTTCCATCGCCGCAGAAGTACTGCCCCAGACTTATCCGCGCTATGCCACACTTTTGTGCATAGGCATAGGCTCGTGCAAGTAACTCGAATAAAACCGGCTAAAACCGTGCACCGACTCGGGACGTTCCGGGCCGCAGCCAAGGCCAAAGCCCAAGACCTCACCTCCACAAGTAGGAGCAGAGGTGGATGCGGTGCACACACTTGGGCGGAGGGGGCAGTTCGATGCGCTCCAGCCGGGCCACGGCCGACCCGAAGCCGTACAGCACCCGGTACTTGAGGAAGAACACCAGGGTGAGGCAGAGGCCGAAGCCCAGGAGACCGGGCAGGTCCAAGGACTCCACCAGGTCCGGGTAATAGGCCAGAGCAGAGCTGCAGTTGGACACCACTTTTAGAATCTCGCACAGGATGAGAACTGCAAGAAGTTTCAGTTGTCCCACCTCCAGTGTAGGCTTCCTACCTTCGAGCATGCACGTGCAACCAAAGAACCATGGAAGGCAACCGGCATGTGCCAGACGCCGGGTGTTCGTGAGAGACGCCCCGCTGTTCTCATCTTGTCAACGAGTCAGTCATCTTGTCAGTAAATCACACCTAGGGTTATGGGTTTTTGTTCTAAACTAGTAAGAAACGATAGTTTCTCGTCAGTTTATTGGTTCGCTCCAGCACGGTGGCTCCAGGTGAAGAGGCACCAGCCCAAAATCACGTCTTCAAATAAGTGGAATAATAGATCCAGCTAACCTCGTGTTGCAAATAAATATCCTCATGTCCCTATCTATTTTCTTAATGCTGCTAGTGACAGGTAAGGATCTAGTCTTACGCGATAGCGCTTCTTTATATCTTAGTGGTCCGCACGTTCTTGCATAGGCTCAAATTGCGGGAACCATCGCGTCAATTTTTGTGTGTACTTTTGTAACGAATATCGGATATAGCGAACAAATTTCTGCTCCCGATGCTAGTTCGTTATAACGAGGTTCGACTGTACTTCCGGTCGTATCTCAATACACGTACCGGCAGTATACTGCCCTACACTTTTCTGCACCAGTGCAGGAGGTGCAGGTAGATCGAACGAGCCCACTGCCCGCCTTGGGTCGTACGAGGCTCCCAGGACACCAATCACGATGACAGCAGGTCACAAAACGGACACCGCGTGCCACCACCATACCAAAGTCACATGTCAGAAATAATGACTGCTGCCAGTCTGTCATAATGGAATGGTAAGCTACTCACAAACTCCCTAATAGGGTCCATTATATCTAAGGTTCCGTGTTTTCGGATAAATCCGATAAACTCTGAAAAACACCCGCCAGTAAGATTTTGGTTTTACCCGATAAACTCCAAATGTTTATTCCCCCCCCCCCCCGCGCAAAAAAAAAGTGTAAAAGATGTTTTTTTACAATTCGATCAACACAAAGTCAATGGTCCTGGGAAAACAACACCATAGTTATATTTCAAATCTCAGACCATTGTCAAAAGGGGTCTTACCGCCTATCTCGTCAAGGTTTGTACATTCAGGCCACGACAAAAGCCACTCCTTTAGTTTCCAGTTTGGGCCAAGGAGAGGGCAGGCTTTTGTAACAGTGAAAGGTATGGACCATAAAGGTTGTATGAAATAGGGAAGAGGGGCAGTTTAAACTTCACTGTTACATCCTTAACCACTCCACCTCGCGCGGCCACGGGCTAGGTTGATGTAATAGGGTGGGATGGCTATGGGCTTCCTAACGACTACTACATTTATTCAAATATAAGTCTACCTTTTTTTTTTCAGAAATGTTGTCAAAAATTAACGGTCCACCGATAATCGTGACCAAAGAATTTCGACCTACATTCGCAACCAAAATTTGAAACCCTATCGAGAGCATGGAGGTATCAATCACCTAGCCGGCCTCGCCGTAGAGCCGCACAGCTTCTTGTTTCAAAAAGCTTTTGATGCACAAAAAAAACCGAAACAGCAGCAGCTGACAGTCCGTGGCCACGGGCCACGGCTCTCGTGCACATCCCTTGGGCGTCGGGTTTCGCCATCAGCCCTGTAGCGTCCCCCCCACTGGGCAAGGGGGAAGCGGAGGGAGAGGAACGCGATGTGCCATGCACTTTGCCCTCCATCCCTCTCTCCCTCGCAAACGCGCACAAAAAAAAAAGGAAAAAAACAAACAAAGGTACTTTAGTTTTTTTTTTTTTTTTTTCTTCTTTTTTTTGGTAACTTGCGTGTTGCTTATGAGACTCGCAGCGTTGCTCGCAATTTTGTATTTCCTCTTTCATTACTTCACCCGTCTCCACCTTCTTTCATTTCTCCTTGTTGCCATTTTACAAAGGTGTCAGTGAGGCATTGTTTCGAATTTGTGAGGATGTCTACCAAGCTGACGAAGCTTCAGATGAGGATGACATGTCGGGAAGTTCTGAAGATGATTAAGATTTTGACATCGACCTGCGATAAAGGTTTGTTTCTTTCTTTTGCCCAGACTTTCCCCTGTTCCTTAAAAAAAAAAAGGTCAACCTACAATCGATTTTTTTTTTTTTTTTTTTTTTCGACGGGCTTACTAAGCAGGGGTCGACCTATTTTCAGGTAAATACAGTACCTCTGGAAGTTTATTGATTTTGAGGTATCGACGTTTATCGAAGCAACACTTTCGTGCGACTTTTGTCGCGGGACAAATTAGTACTGCCAATGGCAATGGCAAACATCCTCCGAATTTGACGAAAAATAAACTCTGAAAACATGGAACCCTAATTATATTTTATAACAGAATCTGTAATAAGAGAAGCTGGCAAAATGGCATAGAAAGGTAGACCAACCAAAGTGCACAAATCGGTATGTTGTAACCAGGGATGGGCAGTATTTCAATTACAAGTATTTGAAATACGTATTTTAAATACTTTGTGTATTTTGCATTTGTATTTAATTACAAATTGGGTAATGTATTTGACGTGTGTATTTAAATACTAAAATGTGGGTATTTCAAATACAATTGTAATTAAATACAATTTTGTGGGCGAAAATACATCCCTCAAATTTATTGTCACTGTCCAGAGCAGGAAGAAAACTACGTTCTGCACCGAATGCAGTGTCTCTCAATCAAGCACAAGCGTTTAGTGACTTTGTGATTACGGTGCTAGTCCAGGGCAAGAATAGTGACGAAATTGACGTTCACAGGCAGACTGGCTAAAGAAGTGCCTGTGACAAGTTGTGATGCTTTCCAGCCTGATTTCCATCCATATTTTTGCCTGGAACATTCTAAATGCGCGGGTCGTCCAGATTTTCGTAGCTGGTGCGAGTCGCAACAATAAAAAATTCTCTAGCCAGTGCTGCGCGTCTTTGTAGTCTCGGTTCTTTGTTGGTCTGTACCAAAATGTAATCGACAAAAACACTTATCTGTACTTTTTTCACCTATTACGTCCAACCTGATTACATTGTTTTTGGGGATTATATTTCTATTACGTTACTAGAGCTTCACACACTAACTCCCGAGTGTGCGATGCAAAATTAAAAAAAGAGATACCCAGAAACCTGTTGGAGGTGCCCTGAAGTCGTTGACGCAAATTTTGAGGAATGTATTTGAAAAGTATTTGGAGGAGACCCAATAGATTTGGTTGTATTTGTATCTTGTACTTAAATGCTTTTTTGGAAATGTAATTAGATTTGTAATTAAATACATTTTTGACGAAGTATTTTGTATTTGTATTTCGATACATATCTGCACGTATTTTGCCCATCCCTGGTTGTAACCAATGTCTGCTGTAACCAGATCTGTTGTAGCAATGTTTTACCATATACATAATTGCAATGCATGGAAAACGGTGGGATCTTACGACGTGTTTGTACTAACCCTGATTAATCGAGCGACGTCACTGCTCGAAGTGATCACGTGGCATCATGGCATCAAGTCAAGGTATTGTATCGCACGGCAATACGACGGCTTGACACTAAATTGCCACGCACACTGCTTTATTGATTTTGGAGATCCTGCAAAGCACGCAACAAGCGCCCCCCCAAGGGCCATCGGGAACAAAATGAAGCTGTATTGAACATCATTCCTAACTTTGGAGTGACAACTCAAGTAATGCAGAGCTCGACCACCACGCTAAAGATGCAGGAGGCATTTATATGGCTGGAGCGTAAAAATGCGAGCCACACAGCTCGTACGTCGCGCAAAAGACGCAATGACGAAACCATCTGCGGAGCCGCTTCTCACGAAGTGCGTCTGCTTCGTGCATTCGTCCGCTTCGTTTGCGAATATGACGGGGCCGTCCTACAAGGAACGCTTGCTTATGCAGACTGTCCTCTGCGTGACCGCAGCGTGCTTCGAGCGGGCGAGATATGGCGAGAGATCAGTCGGAAGGGTACCTGTAGCAAAAATGCAGGCACGCCTCGAGGAGAAGGAAGCAGAGGAGGCATCGACCCAGCTGCAGCAGAGATCCACGCAGCTCTCCGGACATCCAGGCAACTTGGGGCTTGTTCAGCTGCGGGAGGGCGGTTAGCTTGTCCGCCCGAGTGGCGGGGACATTCGACCGACGTACCATGTTTGCTCGCATAATTTGCGCACTTTTGATCTTTAGATTTCGGGCATCCAAAAAGGGGTACACAAACTGCACAAAGAATTCTGAAAAATGTTTCTTTTTTAAATCTTTTTGCATATTTTGTGCGCTTTGCACAAAAGTAGGAGTGTGAAACGCCAGGCTCTCCGTACCTGAGCCACGAAGCCGTCGTAGTTCTGGAGTGGCCCAGTGAAGAGGCTCGGCAGGTAGAAGACGTACGCCAGCGTCTGCCAGAGTTGGGGCGCACTCGGACGCTCGGGCTGTCGCACAAAGTCGACGGAGAAGCTGAGGCACCGCGCTGCCGTCCACGACAGTCCCACTTGCGCCAGGAAGGCGGACACATTTCCGTCGGACGGATATGCCGGCTACGGAAACAAGTGGACAAAAAGAGGCCATGAAATGCTTGTGGGAAATCGAAGGAAATCGTAAAAAATTGTTTTCACGCACAGAGCATGCCACCCCAAACTTTTTTTTAAAGCGATGTTCGCGCCATACGGGCATAAAATGTCTCAAAAATTTCTTCGCGCAACATCACAACGAAGCAAGTTCCGTGTTACCACTAAACTCCGGAAAGAATCCAATTACGAGTAACGGACTACTTGTATAGAAAGTAGGGCGAGTTGGTATGAATCCATTTTGAAAAACAGCGCGAATAACACACCTTTTACAAAAAGTTGATAGACAGCGCCTCGTCCTGTGTGTTCTCTCCTTGTCTGTGTGTCATTCGCGTTATTTTTCAAAATGGACTACTTGTAATCCATTACTTTTTCGAGTGACGTCTAAATTGCTGCATTAGTTTTGCGGCAGTAATTCGTAATGCAATTTATAATTACAAGATTCACGTAACCAACCACTTTTGTAACTACTCGTTACTTTCTAAAAATGTATACTGCAACTAAAATTGGATTGTGCGATAGTATTAGAATAATTCTGCCTTTCTGTCGTCGTCAGTGTTTCTCTCTGGCAGGGGAGCATCCGGCTGCAGGCCAGCCCCTTGCACTGCACGCCAAGGAGGCGAGCTCATGCGTTGGACTCTCTTACTTCCGCTTCTTGTTCGTTAGGCCAACGTAGCCGATGGTGCAGTTTGTCGATGGGGGGTTTCTACACCAATTCAGCTAATGACGAATCGCAGCGGCTGGCACGAGCCATTCTCACTACCGTGTGTCACGTGACCTTCGAAAGGGTGCAGCGACAGGCGGGTGCGTAGTCACGTGACACGTACGTTCACACCGCCGGATTGACTGGAATGGCTCGGAGAGCCCACCCCAGTTCGTCGTAAGGTGAAACGGAGCATAGCAGCCCACGCACCGAAGTGGCAAAATGGAAGACGAGTGGACAATCTGAATGTGGAATACGTGGGTAGCGAGCGCGTACGCCCCAAAGACTCGGTCGAGAATGAAAGCAACCTTCGGTCTGTTGAGCTGGGAACAGCACAGCAGTAGTGCCGAAGATTGAAACACTGGGGGAAAAGTCTGACCAAACGCTTCGTGCCTCCGATGGTGTGAGCGCACAGGTGACTGTCGTTCGGTCAACGAGAACGACGAAACAAACGAGGATTTCTCCCGTTTCAACCGGCGGTCCACGAGGCGCGCCACCTTCGCCATCCTCCTGATACAGGTTCACGCTTTCATCCGTTGCTTTGTGTCCGATATCACTCAGTAGGAGCGAAATTTCCTAACAATTCCATTTTCCATCCTTTCTGTACTCTTTCAAACAATAACAACTTAATCAATATTACAAATTTCGCTTCAGCTGAACCATTATTAACCGGGTCAAACCAGTTTGAACAGTTATTTTTTCCATTCTGGAGCTGAACCTAAACCGAACCAAATATCGGAACTGTAACCAAAACCGTAGCAAAAACAAGTTTCGGCTCGACACCCTGGTTCAAACGTATCTTCTTGACGTCAGCTCGCTCCTGCATTCCCTCGGCGGCGAAAAATGCCACAGAGATTCGTTCCCAAGTGTGCCACTTTGCAGACGAGTGGCATGGGCCGTCTTCTTTTAGCAACAGTGATAATTGCGTTGACTTTGTAGCAGTCAACGAAGGTGGTTATAACGGCCTCGGCATTCGGGCCCGTTTAAATCATGGTAGCGTCGGCATTTCACTGCACGGACACGATCCCCAGAAAAGTGTTAGTGGAAAGGCCCCTTGCATTTCTTATTAAAAACGCACGTGCTCCAAGTCATGCCGAGCTCTCCGAATGGTTGTTTGTGTTGCCGAAGACACTGTCGCCATAGTAACAGCCTGCTCTTGCGGAGATCAGGAGCTCGCGGGACACCGGAAGTTCTAGTTTTGCCGTACAAGAACGTTGCTTTCCTCCTCTCACTTAAGGACGCGTTTGCAAATACAGATTTCTCCACTTCCTATGATGTGTGTAACTTACAAACTTCTTAGCAAGTTGTCGTAGCCTAAGAAGCTCTTCATAAATCAGACCTCTGGTTATTACACTCACAACATCTGCTGCAGTCGTATATTGGCTGAGAAAAAGAAACGTGACTAAAGAGACTACGAGAGACGGTCACTCCACGCACAGTCCCCCGCGCCTACATGTTAAATTTTGTTTTTAGTCAATATTGGGAGTTTTGGTGCTTCAGTGGTCATAGCAATCAATCGTCAATAAGTTCATAAACAGGGGGGTAAAGACAGGAGCAGAATGCAGCATTTCCTAAGCACCGACATCTGTGCTCCTGAGAGGAAGAAAGAGACCGACCGAAAAGCGGAGAAAGAAAGCAGACAACAGGTTAGGCACGTTCGTTTTGCCACGACGAGATGGGGTTGTTCAAGCGCCGGCTAACTTTACTTACGTTCCTACTAGTGATGAGCCGAACTTCTGCCGAATCGAAAGTTTGGCGCCGAATCTTGGGATTCGGCAAAGCTGAACTTTTGCCAAACTTTTTAAAGATTCGGCAAAGATACATTGTTACCAGACTTAACGTTTATATTTAGTTTTTTTCTGGAAAAAAAGGGGTTTATGTCGTTTTTTTTCCTAACTCAAATGCAACATCTCATGCATATTGACACAGTTATTACTAAATAAGGTGATATTCTACAAGATAATTGTATCGGTGTCGTTTTTGTGTATTTGCTGTCAATTTTAGTGACTCCTTGCAGAAGTGGCTTTGCGTGACAACGAGGTTGGGTAGAAGCGAGCGCGGCGCAGTCACGAATCAAGCTACGAGAGTTTCGGTATTGAGACATCATCTGCGCAAGCCTGCATGCGTGTGTACATTGTTAAAATGAAGGCAATAATGCTGCGTTCTTGCTTTCTCTGGGAGCCACCGTTTTGTGAGCAAAAACGAATGCAACAGTTGCTGAGCCTTCACCAGTAGAGAAAATATTATTATTGTAAATATGCATGTTTTTCAATTTGAGTCACTTGATGTCAGCTTTGCATGAAAGTGTGCGTTTTATATTCGTAACGTCTTGTTTCTAACCTTCAAAATGCCAGCTTGTGGTGTAAGGACACACACAAACGTTTAGGAAGATAGGGAGAGTTAAGAATGTCGGATGTGCAACGTCGAGGCATTATAGTTCTGTGCTTCGCTTTATGCAGATACATGAAAATCGCAAAATAACACTAATTTAAAAGCAATGTTATTTTGTTTTGGAACACACTACTGCTGAGCCAAAACAGATTTGTTATAATACCGAGAAGTGCTTTATAGTAATTGTCGGCCAATGTTTCAACTACTTCGTTGCATGACTTGAAAGGTCAAATGAAAATCACGTCATCTAGAATGTACCGCATCATTTGTCACTTGCGCAGTGGACCGCACAAATTGCTGGTCGATCTTCTATTCTTGGGGCAGAAAATAGTGAAGAGAACCACACTCGCTCACAAACGCACTGTTACCGTGTTGCCTACCCCACACCTCGCCATAACCGCTGGTTGTACTACACTGCACGATGGTAACCGCACGACTGCACGGCGTCTATTTGCAATCCAAGGCCCCGTCGCGTTCTCGCGCGTGCGCAAACATTTGCTGAATTTTTGCCGCATCTTTGCCCAACTTTCCTTCAAAAGTTTGGCGTTCACCGAACTTTGCCAAATCTGAAGTTCGGAAGATTCGGTCCATCACTAGTTTCTACAATGTGCAATGCCGGCGTTTTTATGCAAAATAAAGCTAGATAAACACTGGACGCAGACCCTGCAAGTGATGTCTTCCTGCTTCTTTGTGTATATCAAAACATCGCCGGCAACATGGTCCCAGCAAGGCCACCCATGCCCGCATCAATGCCACCGCCGTTCCAAAGAAGCCAAAATGCACGGGCTTTTCCCTTTAGGATATTTTTTTTACCTCTATGTTAATGAAGGCCACTTCACAGTGTAACCGAGTGCACTGTGACCACTTGTGACAGCTCACAACGAGAGAAAACGCCACGGATCAATCAGTGTAGCACACTGGCACCATCCATCAAGTGGCCCTAGAACTGCATATAACTAGACTCAAAGCTCTGCAGCATTCGCGAGGTCAAGTCAACGCACCATCCACGAGAAATGGCCACCTCTAACATTGCCACAAGTACTTCGAGCCCACGATAAGAAAATCTGAGTAAAAGATTAGGAAATATGTGCAAATCCTATATTCTAATAATCACCAAAAGTCTCTTTTTAACTCCCGCAAAAAACAAATCGTCAGAATACACCGAGTTATTAGAAATGAAAAAAAAACAATGAAATACCTTAGATTGGTTTTCCCTATGTATAAGCACCGAAAAATCTGCATCCTATTAATTGGTCACCAGGTAACACCATTTGCGAGTGAGTGACAACAAAGAATTCATAATGCCACGTGCATCACTGAATTGTCATCACGTGCAACTCCCACGCAATGACACGAGTTTCGAACCCCGCCAGCCTCGTTCTTCGTATTATCTTTTGCGACTATTCTAGAACGTTCTAGCAGAACCTTGCAACGTATAGCTTGTTCCTGCACAGAATGTTGTAAACTATGTAGTCAGCACAAAAGAAGTTGATGCTGGCAACGTTGAGGCAGTTGCCCTTTTGCCGACGTCACGCAACGTATGGTTCCTTCTTTGTTTGAGTTTGTAGGCGTAAGTTAAACTCATTAAACATTCATTTTCAGTTCCATGTTCATCCGCTGCTTTTATTTATAAAAATAAGAATCCAAGAGTAAAAATAACTGCTTTTTGGCTGCGGTTATTCCCGGGCTGTCTGCGTGTTAGCGCGCGCGAGTTCTTAACAGCCCGAGGAAGGTGTTTAGCGGCCCTCGATCAAAGTGCACCCCTTCAGATAAAGAGCTCAAGTCTATATAAGGCATCGCTGGTGAACTCACCTTCAAGAAGCCCAAAACAGGAAAACTGGAATGTAGAACAATGACCAGAGCCAGGACGTAGCAGGCCACAATACTCCCGACCGTCGCAGCGGCAAAGAAAGCGGCGTAAGACGCAAGGAAGACTAGCACTGTCGTCCATGTCAGGTTGTACAGCATGAAGATGGCCGAGTAGACGAAGTAAAAGTGCGGCAAGAACTGCAAGAGAGCCAACGCAGCAACAACTGAAAGAAAGTGACCCCGAGGTTCTGTGGATAAAGTGTGCTTCTCAATTTTACCATTACAAGAAATGAGTGTAATCAGTAGCATGCCTGCACGACCCTGTAAAACTGCATCTTACATTTCTGTACAGGGTCAGAGAGGAAAACACTTGCGGTATAAAAAAGCTTGTTTCAATTATCAAGTTTAATGTCCTAGAAACAGTGTTAATAAAAACTTCAAGTAGGTACTCTGCACTTAAACCAGTACTCAAAGTATGTTTTAAAGGGGCCCTGACACATCAAAATCATATTTTATTTTATTATCCGAAACAACTGAAAACAATGCCGGGACATTCCCCTCAAAATTCGAAGCTTGAGAATCCAGTATTTGTGAAGTAAAAAAGCAATTTCCAAATGCCGAATTCTAAGTTCTCGCGCGATCCGCACCAGTGCGTGGACGTCTAATATTGCGAAGTCCTGAGAGTCGACTTTCTTTCACGACTCCGTGCTGCTTCCACCACGACCCAAAGCGAGGAGGAAAGGAGCGGGAGAGATAGGGCACCGGAGGACCGAGAAAAACTAGCTTTATTCCGTGTGAGCGGTGAAGCCTGCCCAGGAGGTATGTTTTCCGAGGGAGGATACAATTCCAGAAAGCGACATCACACCGGACTCCGATTTTTGGTATTTCAAAAAGAAGGGCCGTAGTGCGTTCGCAAGTAACGATTGCCGTTATTTATTGTTATATCAATGTCGCCTAAAAAGCCTCTAATTTCATGATTTTTGGCGTCACAAATCAAAAGAAGCGAGAAGGAAAAAAGCGGGAGAGGAAAACGTCAAAAATAAAAAGGCGCGCGTGCAAGTAAAAAGCTTTTTTTTTGCGATGCATTTTTGTTTGCGTGTCTATGACTACAACCTGCATCGTTATAGACAATAAAAAAAAATAGGACCCTTGGGGTGTCAGTGCCCCTTTAGGCACTCTGTATTTGGCCTCTAAGTATATGTGAAACAAAAGTCAACTCTCTAACATCAAACCCTGGGTAGCAAACATAATTTTAAAGAAAGTGAATTGCATCGTTCTTGCGTATTTCGTGCTTCCGCTATTTCAGAGAGGTACACACAGGACTCTGGTCTTGAGTTGTATTTTCACGGGCATCTTTATCGCTTTTGCAAGGCGGATTCCCTCGTAGTTACCATTAAATATCAAATGCACATAAAACTGAACCGAATCTAAAAGAAACTGCATTCGTAACTGCTTTGAAAATGCGGTTCAATCGTCACTGCGACCGCAGTCTTGGGCCTCCTCATCGCCAGACACTTTCTGTGCTTTCAGAGTGGGTATTCGTGCACACATTTCTTGAAACCCTGAAAAGTCAACACACTATACTGTCACCGAGTGTGAAGTTGTATTTTCTTGCACACTGTCAATGTCCAGTGACTTTTAGAAAAACGGTGACATCATGTGCCGGCAATACTGTGGCATCCAAGCACACTGTTTACAGCGCAACCTCTACTACGACATTTGTCAAGAGAAGCGGCAAGTGCTTCGGTAACCGTATAGGGCTTAGGCAGTTAAGTTACGAGTGTAGACTAAGAGCGTCGATGACGCAGTGGTTATCGCACCTGTTCCTCGATAAGAATGGCCCCCGTTTGACCCCAGGTGCAAGGATGTTTCACAAGATGCACGTGTTTGACAAGATGGCGAGACGACACCTACGCACTCCTCGTGTGTTACTGAGGAGCGTTATATCGAGGAGCGTCGCACAAGCTGCTACTGAGGACAGGGCTATAACACATTCTGAGATGAAGAGGCAGGTAACTGAAATAGAGAAACGACTCCTTCTGGATTATTTCTTTATCGTTTCTCCATTTCGATTCACCTTCGGGCGCTGTTCAGTAATCCGCACACAACCTGAGGTTGAGCAGACCGAGTACCAATGAAGAGTATGACCGCGGGGGGAATATTTCGCAATTTGAGCAGTCCAACAGCACACCGCCACTGTCCAAGCCGAAGACACTACACAAGCCGCTGTCCAAGCCGAAGCGACTGTCAAGCCGAAGCAACTACACAAGCACCAAATCCAAAGGGAAGTGTGCGCTGTGAATGTGATAGTGACCATGTGCATTAGATCTGCAATGTCAATGCCACCTAGGGATCTGAGGCATAGAGCAATAGCTTACCTCCGGAATTTTCTTGAACAGGAGCTGGCTAATCAACGGCTGCAAGAGGACCCAGTGCCAAAACCGGCGAATGGCGGTGCTGTAGCGATACCATTCCTCATCTGCAGTGTCCTGCAAATATGTGGACGCAAAGAGAACAGCCAATAACCAACACGAAAGGGAAGATTGCATAACTTTTTATTACACTACTCTGCCAAGTGCAAAAAATATCAGTCCATAAAAGCAGGAGCTCGAGCAGTGATTCTCAAATGGGGGTCTACGGACCCTTTGGGGTCCGCGAAGGCATTGTAGGAGTCCGCAGGGTCCTGCCTCATCAGTCAAACTTAGCAATAAACATTGTCGTTTTTCTGGTTAAGATGAAACGTTTCAGTTTTCGGGCCAGTTTTCTTGTGTGTGTCAATAAGAGAGGTCTACTTCACACTAGCCCTTAGTTATATCCATTCATTAAATCATTATTATATTTATCCTCTACCTTTCCTCTCCTCTCACCACAAACGGGGTCCTCCATCATCTCCGCTGATCCACAAGGGGTCCGCGAAACATTGATGGTTGAGAACCACTGAGCTAGAGCATCAAAAGTGTTAAAGGAAATATACAGGGTGCTTTATTTTAGAGCGCAGCTCTTAGGGGCCCGTTCCCGGCTTGAGCGGCGTCGGCGTAACCAAGGTCACCCCAAGGTCATGTGACCCCCCAAGGTCACCCCAAGGTCACGTGACCCCCCCCCCCCAAAGTCACGTGACCCCCCTCCTTCGAGGTCACGTGACCCCCAGGGTCACATGACCTCCCCGATGACGTCATCGTCACTGATGACGTCACTGGCATCCGCATCATCATCATCATCACCGATGACGTCATTGGCATCCGCATGGTCATCATCACTGATGACGTCACCAGTGACGTCACTGATGACGTCCCCGGCATCCGCATCGTCATCATCACTGATGACACTATAAGTGACGTCACTAATATCTGCATCGTCATCATCGCTGATGACGTCATCAGTACGTCACACGTCATCGGAATCCGCATCGTCGTGGTCAATGATGACGTCATCAGTGACGTCACTGATGGCATCATCGGCATCGTCACGTGACCCGCCCCCCCAGGTCACTTGACCCCTCGCAGTTCCCTTCCCTCTTCCTCCTCAAGAGCTGCGCTCTAATTCGGTGTTACAGGAAGTTGTAAACGGCTTTCACTTTTTTTTTGGTCCTTACAAATTTGTTTTTAAACAAGCATCGAAGGCTACACTAATATGGTCTATGTACGAAAGTTATATGGCCAGGGGGACATAGTATAGGGGGCTAATAGAATATTTGCTAAATACCCAAAGCGCCCCTGCCCGCATTCAAGGAATCATGGAAACGGTGTTCCTTCAGCTCCCTAGTGATCGGTAATTTCGACCAATTCCATGATTATGCAGTTTGGAGTGTAATTCGGAGTCACCCTGACTAAGCGTCGTATAGAGCCCAAGGACCTGTTAAAATTTCTCGTCAATGTCAGCTCTTACATTATTATCATTTTCATACAGCTTGAAAGACGCTGAATAATAAGTTAGAAACGCTAATAATGCTATATTTAGTATCCCACCTTGAACGCAAGGTGCGATACTAAATAAATCTACAGTATTTTCCAGTTTATAAGTTACACTATTGCATAAGCCGAAACACCTATAAGTGGCTGTTTTCATGAAAACGTTGGCACTTAAGTTACACAATTGCATAAGTCACTCATAGTTATGAAGCACTGTGAAGGATGGTGCGCAGCAAAACTTCATCCACGAACATTTGCAACCATGCTTCGAACCGTCTTCAGATTGCCGGAAGAGCAGGCCATTGGCAGGTGCTCTGCCGCTCCTCCTTTGTCGAAAACGTTCACTTCCACAATTAAGGTCCATACCAAAAAACCAGGTTTAATATTCTCGATTGAACCCGGTAGCACGCTGCAATAAAAGTGGGCCGTTTCCAGGTAGCACCCAATAAGTTGCACCGGTCATTGTACCTGCTCATTGTTTTAGTTACGTCTTCCGCTCCTTGTTTTCGTCGCCAGTTACACACTTGCCACTGCACAGCAAGCATGTAAGATAGCAGGCTGGATGCTCGGCAAAGAAAATACAGTGCACGATTATCTTCCGCGGCGGCACCTTGCCACAAACAAAGTGTAGCGAAGATTTTCTCGCATTTCTGATAAAAGTCACAACATGGTGCAGCTCGCAAGGGACCGGCAAGAGACAATCTAGGAGCCGTCCCCATCCGCACACGTGTTCAAGACCACGGGGCATACAACTAAGCTTGCATGAAGACCCCAATCCGACACCACAGGGCATACAACTGCCAAATGGTTGCGAAGCCCGGGCAAGCTTTTGACACCTTGCCTGGCTTCGTTCAAATTCTTCTTTTTTTTCTACTGTCGTCTGCCATAAAAAAACAAATTACAAAAAAAAAAAAAGAGGGCAGAAAATAGCAAGCTTGCTGCAGGGTCCCTTCAGCGAACATTGCGTAGTTAATTTACATAAATTCCCAACCACACAATCACCATTTATAGAGATTTTTTTTTTTTTTTTTTTGCCGAGCTTTGGTGCATAGATACATGCCTTATCTCTCCAGATACCGTAGGATCCGTCAACAAAGTCCCTGGGCACAACCTGAGGCAGAGTGACATCTGAAAATAAAAAGCAGCAGCCATTAACGTCTGAACTACCGTAAAATACCGGGCAAGCGCCCACTCAATCTCTGGAAATAATGGAAAAAAAATGGGGGATAGGCGCTTGTCCGGCTCTGAATTTTACATATACAGTAAATGTATTCTGCGTATTTTCTCAGATCTTACAAATTTGGTAATGGGCGCTAGAATGGGCGGATGCGTGGTATTCTACGGTAAGTACATGTTTATACCACTTAAAGGTGGACTGAGCTCCAGAAAAATCTGTTTTGTCAATTAAGTGCCTGGATAACACATGTATGTCATGCAAAAATATTTTACCCGAAAAAAGAAACTTTAGAGGAGTACTTCCATCGTGAGAATCATTTCAAGGGAGAAGTGACTGTGAAATAAGCTTCTACGTCGGCACGTCGTTGAGAAACGGAAGCACGAAACGCAATTATAAAATAGAAGATTACCACAATACTAAAAATGAGTCTCGCAACCTATATATTGCGGTAAAAAATTTCCTTACTTAACCAGCCTGCCTGCACCCTTGCATTAACTTCATTAATTTTTTCCAGAGATTTTTATTTCTTTATTTACATGATCTGCCTGGGAACTGTAAAAAAAAAAAAAAAAAAGCTTAAGATAAGTAGGGTCCCGGAAAAAGAAGAAAAAATGCACTGGGCCTAATAAATGCCGCGTTATACTTACTCGTGGAACTTGTTGCAAAGCATCCCAGTGCATAGAGTACACCCCCAATCCACACGAGCCAATGGAAGACTTGGTCCAAAACCAAGAGCTTTGCCACGAGAGGACTCTGCCTGCAAGAAAAGATACCATAGTGTTATGAAGACACGGAAAAGAAGTTATTCCTGCCAGGAGCTAGCGAAGTGGGGGCCGCAAAGATGGAGTCAAGGAATTAGACATCTGGTGTGCGGAAGGTAGAACGGGGAGATTCGTCGGACAATGCTCTTTCAAAAAACACGCTTGATGTCCAGTTTGAACTGAGTGACAAACTGTGAATATTGAGAAATTTAAGGGAGGGCCACATGAAGGATTGCTTTCAAGGTTCAACCTTACAAACAGTTTTTTTTCAGAGTTCAAAATTAACACAAACCGCTGTCCGCACCTTTCAATACGCTAGTGATCACAAAACTTCGGCCAAAGGTTGGTACAAGCTTTGTGACCAGTAGCATATTGAAGGGCTCTGCCGCTGTTGACCACGGACCTTGACGCAATCCTGCTATTCACATCAACGGAGCTGAGTTACTAATATCACAGCGTCTGCAGGCGCTAGTGCCTGCGATACGAGTCATGCCATCCGGCGTGTTGCTGCGAAGCTATTCCGGTGAACTGACCCAAGTTCAAGGCAGGGTGGACGTCAGCGTGCAGTTCCATGACAAGAAGGCCGTGCTGCCATTGTTCGTCACCGGAGATGGGTCGCCTACACTACTTGGACGCAACTGGATTCGGGAGCTGGGCCTCAACTTCTCTGATGTGGAGGTAACTGTTCATTCTCTTTCTGACGTCAGAAGTCTTGTTCAAGAGTTTTCTGCTGTGTTCGAGGAACGGCTGGGTGCTTTCAAGGGGCTCAAAGCCAGTATTCATGTTCCGGAAAACGCTCCACCGAAGTTTTTTAAGCCGCGTCCACTACCTTTCGCACTCAAAGATGGAGTTGCACAGGAGCTTCAACGTCTAGAAAGGGAGGGCATTATTGTACCAGTCAAGACGTCCGCCTGGGCTGCACCCATTGTTCCTGTTGCGAAGAAGGATGGACGTGTGAGGATTTGTGGCGATTTCAAGGTAACCGTGAATCCGGTGGCCACCCTGGAAAAGTACCCGATTCCCAGAATCGAAGATCTGTGGGCCACGCTGTCTGGGGGTAAGAAGTTCACCAAGTTGGATCTGAGGGATGCTTACCAGCAAGTGATTCTTGAGCAGGACTCTAGAAAGTATGTCACCATTTCCACACATATGGGGTTGTTCCAGTACACCCGCCTTCCTTTCGGAGTGTCGTCCGCTCCGGCTATCTTCCAACGGGAGATGGAAAACTTGTTCCGAGGGCTGCCGCACGTCGCTGTGTATTTTGATGACATCCTGGTCACCGGCGCGACTGACTCGGATCATCTGCACAACCTACGTTCCGTTCTCAAGCGCCTTTTTGATGTCGGACTGAAGTTGAAGTTCGACAAGTGTCATTTTTTTGTGCCGCAGGTTGAATACCTTGGGCACATTATCAACCAGGAAGGGTTGTCTCCAGGCCTGGGCAAAGTCACGGCCATACTTCATGCTCCTGCTCCTCGCGACGTCAAGCAGCTTCAGAGCTTCCTAGGATTGATTAATTTCTACAGACGCTTCCTTCCTAACCTGTCTGAACGCCTGCGGCCACTGCACTTGCTTCTTACTGACGGGAAGAAGTGGGAGTGGGGAAAAGACCAAGAAGAGGCTTTTACCACAAGCAAGCACTTGATGACGTCCGCTCCGGTTCTAGCTCATTTCAATCCAGAGAAGCCGGTGTGTCTAACTTGTGATGCATCACCATACGGGATCGGTGCAGTTCTGGCGCACCGTGAAGCCGATGGCCAAGAGCGACCCATTGCTTTTGCATCAAGGAGTTTGTCCCGAGCAGAACAAAACTACAGTCAACTTGACAAAGAGGCATTAGGCTTGGTCTACGGGGTGGAACGGTTCCACCAGTACTTGTGGGGGACCCCTTTTCAAGCTTTCACAGACCACAAGCCGCTGCTGGGATTGCTGAGTGCTGACAAGCCAGTTCCTGTCCACGCGTCACCTCGGCTTGTCAGGTGGGCTCTCAAGCTTTCAGCGTACAAGTACCAGCTGACCTACAAACCAGGAAGGAATTTAGGTCATGCTGACGCACTCAGTAGACTTCCATTACCTGGGAGCAACGTTGAAGAGAACGTGCCGGCCGACGTCTTCATGCTACAGCACGCATATCCGAATCTTCTTTCACCCTCCGTTGTGGCTCAAGCCACAAAGAATGACCCTGTTCTGGGACATGTCGTTCTCGCTGTTCTCAGAGGAGAGAACCTTGCACTAGCATCAGAAACGAGCCCTTTTTGTGCAAGGAGTTCAGAGCTTAGCCTGCATGAGGGTTGTTTGCTCTGGGGAGCACGCGTGGTGATTCCAAAAGTCCTGGGTCTGCTTCATTCCAGTCACCCAGGCATCGAGAAGAGCAAAATGATCGCCAGAAGTCACGTCTGGTGGCCGGGTATCGATAACGACATAACCCACCATGTGAAGAGCTGCTCGATTTGCCAAGCTCATCAGCGGGCTCCACAACCAGTTCAACAGACGCCCTGGCCGTTCCCCCGGAAGCCTTGGTCCAGGCTTCACATTGATTTTGGAGGGCCATTTATGGGGCATACTTTTTTGGTCATTGTGGATGCTTTTTCAAAATGGGTCGAAGTGTTTCCTGTCTCGTCAACTTCTGCAGAGGCTACCATAACAACCCTGCGAATGGCCTTCGCTCAGCACGGTCTACCAGATCTGATTGTGTCAGACAATGGGCCTGCATTTGCAAGTGAGCAGTACTTGTACTTTCTAACATGCAACGGGATACGCCGCATGCTCGTGCCGCCATATCATCCAGCGTCAAACGGGGCAGCGGAGCGTGTTGTACAAACCGTGAAGAACAAACTCAAGAAAAGTGGCTCTGGGGATTTCCAGACTCGGATTTCCAGATTCTTGTTTCATTACAGGACTACTCCGCACGAGGTCACGGGCAGAGCACCATGCGAGTTGTTGACGGGAAGGATGTTCAAGACGCCGTTGGATGTCCTGCGTCCCAGCCTCCAATCATCAGTGCTGCTCAAGCAGCTAAAACAGAAACTGTATACTGATAAAGGCTGACGACAGGGACCGCCGCTCAACCCTGAGGAGAACGTGTTCGCCAGGAACTTCCGCCAGGGTATGCCCTGGGTGCGTGCTCGAGTCGTCGGCGCCACAAGTCAATCTTCAGCGCAAGTCTGCCTTGAAGATGGCACACTGTGGCATCGGCACGGTGATCACCTGCGTTCCAGACCGACCGACGCCCCTACAGCAGCTACGACCGAGGCAGAGACGTGTCCTCCTGTTGGTGCTGCAGTGCAGTTGGAACCGCAAGGATTAAATACGAGTGAATCTGCTGGTGCTCCCGGCACTCTGTTCGAGCCAGGCGAAACAAGCGTGGGTGCAAGCGACAGTGTTGCAAGCACTGGGGTAACTCCTCATCCTACAAGCATCAGTCCACCCCAGCTGCGCCGTAGCACAAGGACTAGGAGGGCCGTGCAGCGGTACTCCCCTTAGCTGTTGCTTGTCTTTGTACCTTAGAGGGGAGGACTGTTATATTCCTGGCTCGCATGTAGCGCCACAAGGTCTCCTGGTGGCCTGATGTCTGGAAGTGCGGCTCTATATTAAACAGGGGGCCACACGGCTCCCTCAGTTAGTGTTGTGTTGGAACCGAACTGCGTCTGTCATGCTTCCGCTTCTTGCCGCCGACGCACGTTGGCCGGTTGGTTGCGAGGTCGGTTTACACTTGTAACAGGAGCCAGGCACGTAGCAAGGGGAGGGGGTGCCCACAGAACCCCCCCCCCCCCCTTGAAATCTTTCGTTTTGCTGGGGCCCCTTCTCCCCCCCTCCCCCTTATACAGCATTTTGTCATTAACAGCCCCCCCCCCCCCCCCCCACGAATCAGAATCCTGGCTACGTGCCTGCATGAAGCAGCTGTAGCTAAAGCACCCAGTACATTGATGCTTACATGTTTATTGCACAATAAACAAGCACATTGATTACCTAGGCCTGCAAAAGCACATATGTGTGCTTGTGGGTGGGGCACTGTTGTAACGGGTAGGAATAGTGTTATTACTGTTATGCAATCAACGTAGCAACATGATTCTGACCTAAAGAAGAAAAGGCTAGTTTTAAACTTTGAAACGTTACAGACAAAATCCAAGTTACATGTTATGAACTCTACAAATTTAAAACTTTGAAAACCATAAGATGAAAACACTTACACAGAATGACGTACCAACTTACATCCAAGTTAAAAAAAAGGTTACAAATTTGGCTATGCATTAAGGTTAATGCACCATTGTCTCAGCTCTGTCTTAGCAATATTAAGTGACTGCAAACTCAAAAGTTCATCTGGCAACATGTTATAATAATGTGGAACAAACAAAGAAAGCCGTACCCTTTTACCGCAGTTTGTGGAAACCCTTGGCAGAATGAAACATTATATTTTCCTCAGGACCCTTTGCTTTTTTAGCAGTTGTTTAAACTTGCATTTGTAGTAATTATGTACTAATATGATAAAGATATGCAATTTGTCAACTGGCAAGATCCGTAGAAACCACACCTTTAGGTCAGTTTCGAGTTCAGCAAATTTAGTTCCATACGCAATGTTTCGCAGAATACTATCCCATTTTCTTTTTTTCTAATACCAGCAGGAACCATAAACCGTTATACCGTATCGTAGTACAGACTCCCCCCCCTTCCTGATGTGAGCTATATCTAATATGCGCATCGGTCAGAAAACAAAGGCGGTGTATATAAGCAGATATTGTTCGTAGGCGTCTTGCCAGGTAGTCAATATGCGCTCCCCATGAGTTGTTCATCGAAAAGCATGCCCAGATACCTTGTAGATGGCTTGTATTCTAGTGGTGCGCACCTGAAGTTTTGACAAGTGGATAAGTGAAGGACTAAGGGGGCCGAAAACCATTATAATTTTGTGTGCGGTATGAAAGCCCGTTAGTTTTGTTTTATTGATGTTTACAAAAATTTGGTTGCTAGTGAACAACTCCATTAAGTGGAATATGTCATTTTGAAAACATGATGGAGCTTCGAATTCATCATTGCTAGGTAAAACCAAACCGGTATCGTCGGCGTACTGAAATACCGGCGAGGAAAAGTGAAGCCTCCCGATTTTATTAAGGGGCCCTGCAAAGATTTTCAGATTAAAAGAATTGGCATTTCATCATTTTTACGTTGTTTATCGTGTCCCGGAGGATAGAGAAAACATTTCCTTCATTAAAAAGTGTCACGATTCCACTGCACAATCGCAAAGCAAAACTCTAGCTTTTTCCCCCACCTGCAGCCGCAAGTGGCAGCCAAAGGAACTATGGCGAGAAGATTATGCGACCTCGCTCGGCTCTAAGGTGCAGCATAACGCCCGCTAATCTCAGCACAGAGAGGGAGAGGAAGCGTCCTCCGAGAGAGCAGACGGGAAGCTACACGGCACCCCGAATTACGTGACTTGGAGGGGGACGAGGTGTGACCCTGAAGACCGAGAGTGAGTTGAGGGGTGCCAAAAATGTGAATATTTATATATTTTTTACGCAACAACTATGCTCTGTTTCACGTTGTGTTGTACCGCAGGGAAGGCTATAAGCGCGAGCTCCTTGCTCTAGGGCACATCTCGGTGGCACAAGCTCTCGTGCACCAAGGGCAGCTGCCAACACTATGAGCTCGTGCTTCGAGCCTTCGCTGCGGTACAACATAAGGTGAACCGGAGTGTAGGACATGCAGGCGAAATCGGTTTTCTGTTCTTTACTTCAGAAGTGTCAGAGGGCAACTTCCATGAATTTTTGACCGAAGTCCGGAAATCGTCGCACCCCCGCTTTAATGTGGATGTTTAAAAAGAGAGGTCCCGAAATAAATCCTTGGGGAACAGCGTGCATAAGTTTAACTAATTTACTCTTAACATCACCAATCTTTACTAGCTGTTGACACTCTGAAAGGTAGTCACTCAGGAACTAAAAAAATTAAAGAAGTTTACAAATTTCTGTAATGCGAAACTAAAGCGCAGCTCTTGAGAAGTAGGAGAGAAGGGTACGGAAAGGAGGGTATGCCCCTCCCCCCTCCTCTGGTCCTCGTCCTACCATCCTCTTCCCTCCTCCTCCTCCTCCCCTCCTTTCGTTGAATGTATTCATGGGTTATGTGAACGAAGTCATGTGACGTCATTTTCCCCACTAAATTTAACAGGAAAACTGAATTGGTGTTGACGTTACGCGACATCAATTTCCCCGCTAAATTTAACAGAGAAACTTAACCCACTAAATTTAGCGGGAATATTGACGTCACGTGACCTCAACACCAATTCAGTTTCCCCTCTAAATTTAGCGGGGAAAATGTGACGTCCATTGATGCAAAGTGTGCGGTTATGCTGACGCCAACGCCAACGGCAACGCCGCTCAACCCGGAAACGGGCACCTAAGAGCTGCGGTCTAAAGCGGGCCTCTAAAATCCATGTGCTCCAATTTATGTTACAAGCAACCCGTGGACAATTGTATCAAATGCCTTTTTGAGGTGTTGGAAAAGAGTTGGCACAAAAATTGTTATGACCAATATTTTCGGGGGTGTGATGAGACAGGTCTTTCAGTAAAGATTATGTGTGTGTGTTTTGGCAAAAGCGATACTGGGAACAACACAGTAAAGAATACTTCTCACAGAAAGAGGTCATAGTTCTGAAGGCAAACTTTTCCATAATTAATAATTACATTGCAATTACGTAATTACAGATGTAAAAGTCGTGACTAAGAAAATACGTGCACAATCTGCTGAGGGGGTGGAATTTTTCGCGATGATGACAAAACGTACCGCATCGTTGTTGCAGTGGCAGTGTGAATGCAACAGCGATGTGGGGAACCAGAGTTGCACCAGTTACGGCATGAAAACTGTAGACAGTTTTTGCAGCTGGGCGAGGCGGAACATGTTGCGAGGAAAAAAACTTTCCTCCCATTGTCCCTTTGTCTTTTTGCGCTGTTTCATCCTGCTCGTAGCGTCAGACCATCCGGAAAGTGTGCTCCGTGCGAAATCAACCTCACAACAATGTGACCTCGATTCACGCGCCGCTGCTTTAAAGCAGTTTTATCCGCGCGTTTAGTCGCCTCAAGGCGAGCGCGGCGATGTCCAAATAAAATACCGATGTGGTTGAAGGCGCTAAAAAAGAAAATTCGAAAAGAACCTCGGTAGCGGCGGGCAGAGCCGCGGCGTCAGGTAACAGCAGACGATTTAATAATGGCCTGTTCCGTTCTAAGTATTGGTCATTGATAGGAAGAGATGGGCAGGGTGTCATTTTCGAATGCTTGACCTCCAGCATGTGATCGCTGCCTTCCGTCGTACTTTAGATGTGCGTGCACCTGAAGCACCTCCCTGCTGTTCTCATCCTGCCAATGACTATGGTCACTCTGGTTCGCGCTATTTTTCAGTTGCGCAGCCTTGCTCTAGATGCTGCTTTTGTTTTGTTTTTCAAGTCGTTATATCGCCTCACGCTGCAGAAACCGTTCAGTGGAAACTCGGCGAGTTTGCGAACGTAAGTTTCAAACACTCACCCTTTCCGCGGTGAAGCTGTCTGGGTTTCCGACGCAACAGGTCGATCAACTGTTTCACTGTCTCCACCCATGTCGGAGTATCATAAACTGAATGTCAGCACAACCATACAGTCACAAAGTACCACAACATGAGCGTCGAGTTTTAACTTCACGTCAATAGCGAAAACACCATTGAATCTGACCGGCGATACGTCGAGAGTGCGCACGCATGCGGACGCCCGCGACTTGCCGCATTTGGTCCATATTTGGTCCGTTTCTTTCGCTTAGCTCTGCTAGATAAATCGATGAATCATGAACCCCTTAAATTAGGCGGCTACTTGCGCCACCTAGCCAGGAGCTCTAACACCAAAAGGTAATCTTTTTCGTTTACCCTTTTTTCAGTCTTCTGCCTCACAGGTAGGTGGCGCCAGCAAACGGCTAAAAGTCAAGCGCGATTCGCGTGGGACGAGCGCCTTCCAGGGGGCCAAGGCGGGCCCACTGTGTGTCCCTTTTTTCGGTCCCGTTCCGGTTCAGTTGTGCGGAGCAAAAATAACGGTTCTAACCGGTTTGAACCGCAAAATAGAGAATATATTTTCAGCGTTTTTTTGGCAATAGGCACTATTTCAACCGTGAAACAACGATCTTTATAGATTCTTATGATTCGTAGAATCCACTTTTATCCCCGATCAGGTACCAAAAATAAGAAATTGCGTTATTTAATTTAGTGGTGTGATTGGCCCGAGTCATTTTGTAGCACCATTTGGAGCTTCTAAAGCTCCATTATACACGTTTGCAAGTCCGGCTTCAAGGCGCTGCCATCTTGCTTGGCTGGGGTGCGCTTGGTCGAGCCATAACCCGATTACGAAGCCTTGCTAAGGCCTCGTAATCGGATTATGGCCGCGTTCAAGAGCGCACCCCACTGAGGAAGATGGCGGCGCCCTGAGACCGGACTTGCAAACGTGTATACACGTTTGCAAGTCCGGCTTCAGGGCGCTGCCATCTTGCTTGGCTGGGGTGCGCTTGGACAAGTCATTATCCGATTACGGACCCTTGCTAAGGCGCCGTAGTCGGATTATGTCCGCGCCCAAGAGCGCACCCCACTGAGGAAGATGGCGGCGCCCTGAGACCGGACTTGCAAACGTGTATAGAGCAGCAAAAGTACTTCGGAGCACAAGCACACTCGTGTGTTGTGGCCCATCCAACTGAACAAAATGTCTACTTTGCACACTTCTGTGCAACGGCAGGCTTGAATCCCTCAAACACCGAATCAGCTGTTTAGTTGCACATAGAAGCACTAGGTATGGCAAGAAGACGCTGATCATCGAGGACAGTTTGGAATGCTCTCAATGGTCATTTTAGGAAAGAAATAGCATTTTAATTACATAGTATATACCAGGGCCGTAACCAGGGGGGGGGGGGGGGGGGGGGGGTTAGGGGATTCTAACCCCCCCCCCCCCCCCCCCCGAAAATTTTTTTTTTCTGGGTACGGCCCTGGTCGGTGCACTTGCAGCCAGCCGATTTTAATCTCCACCTCTGCGCACGCGCATTGGCGCCGGTCGGCTACCGGATACCAAACCGGGACCGGTTCTCCGGTTTGCTGCAACTCGATGCACATGATTCATAGGCGAAAATAAGACAATAGACACTTTCAAAATGGCCGCCGTTGTCCCCGAAACCCCCTTCCCCCCCCCCCCCCCCCCCCCCCCCCGAAATTTTTTTCTGGGTACGGCCCTGGTATATACTACTGAAATAATGTTAGAAAAATCTTGAACACACAAAGCGAAGTTTCATTCATATTTTAACGGTTGTAATAAAAGAAACAAAATTTTAATTCGGATTTTAAAAAAAATGTATTTTGTAATTGAATTATGAACATCAATGACATTTTGTATGTAGAACTTCATGATAACAAAGGTCGGCATGTGAACTATAAGTATGCGTTCATAAAACGATCTAATCAAAGTCGTTATGGTTATTCCCAAGCTACTTCATCACCTAATTTAGTTGGATAAATCCTATATAAAAGTGACGACTAAACGAGAGAGTTAAAATAAAAAAATTAACCTATAGAACAGTTCATATGAATATTCTGCGAGTACCCTTGCTAAATCTTGAAGTTCAAAAAATATATCTTCAGAATAGTGAAGTCTAGCATAAATAATAGCCGCAGTTTTATTAATAATATTTTTCTCCGACTAAGAGCTGTTACAGCTGAACTCATAAGGTTCTTATATATATCGGCGATTCAATCTCAAATCGTGCAGGCAAAAAGGATCGAATTTTTAATTTCGCTGAAAAAAAAAAAAATGCTATGGCGTCGTCTCTAAAAACGCAGTAGCCACAAACCGCAAGCTCGTCGGATTTTTTGTTCTCGACCCACGAATTTTAAAAGAAGCCGCGGCAGAAAGCAGTGTTTTTCACGTCCGTCGTGGGTCGGATGTTTCGCTCGATCTCCCATCGTGGATTTTATGTCCACATTACAATAACTTTTTTCAACCACTCTGTGAGCAAAGGCAAAAAGGCTCTAATACCATAAAATAATTTTAGGCGTGTTTCTTTTTTTTCTGTAAAAATGGCAAAAACGCCACCTCGGTTAATTGTTGACGAACTTTGACAATTAAATACTGGCGATCTACTTTGGTTACGTCGAAACTTTTTGTGTCTCTAGAGAGCCCAAAACGCGCACTTTATATATATTCTAAGATCACTGAGCTGTATAAAATTTCATTGGCGGTACCCGAACGTTGATGCTATGCGAAAACCAAAAAGTACCAATTTTGAAATCGATTTTCTAAAAAAAAAAAAAAAAAAAAAAAAAACATTTTTTAAATTTTTTTTATTTTTCGTTAAAATGTAGATATGATAGTTGCCTACTCGAAAAGGAAGTCGAGAAAGTGTGTATTGTGTTTGTATGTTCTATATTTAAGCATCAATCGCGCACGAACAGGTGTTTTTACGGCTCGAAACGGACTTGGCGAATTGCACGTCCTCACAAACTTTGAAATATTTGTTTGCCTTTTTTTTTTTCGCTTTCACATAAAAATGAAATATAGTAGTTCAACTTTGTTATATTTATTGACCATTTAAATTTCATTATGGGCGGCAAGCTACATTGGAGGAGTTCAAAAGAGAAAGCAACACTTCTTAACAGACCAGCAGGCGTAAATATTTAATGTGTAGAAATCGGCAGACGTGGTATTCATTCGCGGCCTTCATTGGCCTATATGAACGTCCCACTCTTTCGGAACCAACAGATGACCACGACCTTTCGCGCTCGTTGTGTTATAGCGAGTTCGTTTCACACGCACTGGCACCGTTCGAGTTCTCTCCCAGAATGCATCGCACTCACAGAGTGTTGCACGGAAAACTGGACTCAAACGAACTCGCCAAATGCACCGAGTGCAGAAGACTGATGCTGCCGCCATCTATGTTGTAGAAAAGGTACCGACTTCCAACCGAAACTAGCGCCTTTCTGTTCTGAGATGCGTGGGAATGCGAGAATGCAGTCGCTACCAACGTTTATTTACAAATATTGGCAACTGCAACCTGTAGTTTATAGTTGCGATGTCTTCAAGCAGCTCGGCTGCCGTAGAGATAGTTACAGACGGCGTAAATTTCCGCAACCAGCTGTCTACAAAGCAGCTGGTTGCGATCTTTCAATCATTATAACCGTTTACATTGAAGAAAACTGATGATGCTGTCCGAGCAAAAGCTTGATCCGTTTGAGCATGGTATTATGCGTGAACCACTGAAAGGGTACGGCTTAAAACTAGCCTGTTGGAAACTGGGACTTTCGATTTGGATCGTCATTATAGGTGGATTAGATATTAGCCTTGGTGAGGGCGTCGAGAACGAGAGCTTTCTCGAACAAAATACGACGGGGCAAGTTAGCTGCGTAGGTAAATGTTAAACATGATGATGTTGCCCAATCCTCAGGTAAAGTAACCATCTTTAGTTTTCTCTGATGCTTATTGGGCAGTCAGAGGTTTCTGCTGGGGGAGTTTTATCGATAAATGTAAATTTTTCACCCGCGCACGGATGGTGATCGACATCTCGGGGGCCGCTGTTGCGTTTGTTCTGAGCATTTCCTTACACACTGGTATATTACAGCGTTTGTACGGCAACAGACCGATTTAAAACCTGCAAATAAATCACGGGTTGTCAATTGCTTCCTCCGTGAAATAGCAGGCGCTCACAATTCAAGCTCGCGTTTGATTTCGTTTCCCGCGGGACGCGATTTCTATCAAAAAATCTACTTTTTTTCCCGTTCGGTTCCGCGACACATCGTAGCAGACGAACTCTCGTCGTCTGCTCCCGCTCCTCGCCGGCCCCGCCGGAGCGAGGCATGACGGGATTGCATTTAGCGCACTCCCGATTTTCTCGGTGCAGCGAGTGCATGCACACGTGGGGTGTCAGCGCTGAAACGAACTCGGAGAGTGCAACCACTCGTGGAGCGCCGGCCGAAACGAACCCGTTCCACGCTGCGAGTGGGCACGCGTGAGCACACAAGCGTTTCGGGGCAGTAAAACTGGAAACGCCGATTGGCTGAAAAAAAATGACGTCACTTCCGGTTTTGTTATTTTGTTGATTTTTAGATAACGTTTTAAAGTAAAAATATATTAAAAGGTACTTTTCTTGTTTTTGTTTGTTTTTACTTTTTTTTTTTATTATTTTCCTTGCTTGATTCTTTAATTTTGGCTGGTACGGTTCCGTTCTGTTCCGCCTTGGCGCCCTTGGCCGCGGGGGCAATGTTTTTGTTTTCGTTCTACGTTCAGGTGTTGGGTGGCGACGTATTAACCGTCGATAACCAGCCGAAGCAGCTCAAGCTCAAGTTCTCGAGTGGAACGAGGTTGACCGTGCGCAGTGGCAGCCGTTGACAACAAAAACAATGTATGCACTCAGCTTCGCCGGATGAGTGCCGGCGTCGATCGCGAACCGCCAGAGCCGCCAAATACCTCTCGTACATCTCCAAGAACACCAAGAACAGGAGGTATTCATAAAGGTGAGTGTTCACCGCACTTTAGTGCTTCAGTTCCGTTTGGAGTCGTTTGACATAATTTAGTCCGGTGCGTCCGGGAACAAAGGCGCTACCAGAAATGGCGGGAATGGTCGGTCGGTGCTGAATGCTGATGCCATCCAAGCGGATTTGAATTGGGTTTCGTGCGCTCAACGTGTCGACTTGTTTCTTGAGCTGCCTTTACCAACCGCTCGCCCGAAATCGTTCGGTAGAACATGCGGACGTGACGGCTAGCAGAGCCCTCCGCAAAGGCTTAGGAGCGCGC